TGCATCCAAATGTGAACTTCGATTGCTATAAATACCAATTATTTGCCTCTGTTTATCAAAAAATCCGCTAATCACATCGTTAAAGGTGATTTTTTTTCATTACTTCCGTTGTTCCGATCATATTGTGTTTTATTTTGATCTCTTCTCTTGAAGCTTGCAGCATAAATGATTTTTTACTTAAAATTAATTCTTAGGACATTGACTCTCATTTCGCGTGACGAATTTACATAATCATAATCATAATAATCAACTTGTTACTTCCACTTGTTGATACGCTTTTGTGTTTAACTGCTTAGGTTTTTAACATGTAAAAGTCTTAAGTTATGGCTAAGATGATGATGAGGCCCATGTAATTTATTTAAAAAAAACAACTTTGAGAAATATTCTTTCTTCTACTCAAATTGGTAGTAAAGTCAAATATAAACATGTAAAAAAAAATTTCGTGTTTGGACACAGCTTTTAATTTTTAACTTCATTTAGCTTATTGTAACATGGATTCATTGAGTGAACATTCCAGAAATCTATTACTTATATATGTTTAAGAGATGGAATACTGTGTGTGACAGACATAAATACAGCGGACGCATTTTTAGTAGACTGAATGCAATTGTAAGTGTTTATTTTTGAATGACACTAGTGACACGCTCTTGCCTTGCTTCAGTGTAGGCCAGATATTCCCAAACTAATTTCATGTACTGCTCAGTGCTTTCGTGAAATTATTGACTATTCGACTTTTTAATAATCATAAAATTAATAATAATAATAACCTGTAATTATTTACGTATATTTAAATAATCAAATCTGTCAGCAAAAAAGCTAAATAATCGTTTTAAAAGAAAAAAAATATTTTGTTTGAGAATAAAAACTTCTAAATATTACTTTTAAACAACTGGCATTTACCTATAAGCCGCTTCGACATCCACCTTTTCTCTGGATCCTAAACGCCCTCTTGTATAGTTCCAGCGCCCCCAAGGGGGCGTTTTCGCCTACTTTTGGAACCACTGAGTATAGACTCTAGTTTTCTTCTCTTGGTCTTGTATTATTATTATTTATATTAACGTGAAAATAATCTTTCGTACTATTTTATAGGAATATGTTGCACTCGGAGGACTGTGAGTTTGATGCAGAATAAATTTTATACGAATAAAAAGTCAATACATTAATAAGCTATTAAAAATGCATTAAAATAAACATTAAACATAGTGTCATGCCTATGAAACAGATTTTGACAATGACTCTTTGACAAAAGAACTAAAAATGTCTAATTTCGTCCAAAATATAGGCTACCATTTTACTACATTATAAACTTACCGTTAAAACCTCATCATAATCAGAGTGTCAATTGCCTAACGGGATTGCTATGGCTATCTTTATCGCTTACGAATTCATTTTGTTATTTCTGACCACCGAAGGTTTACGGAAGGTAAAGTACCTTACGCTCATTTTCTTTAATATTGAAAATGATAATGAAAAGTCATTGATTTAGTCTAGGCTGTTACAAGCACTTGTGAAGGTCAAGAAGCTACGCCATCGGTTCGCAAATCTACGGCGGGAGACCTTGTACTGAGAAGAACTGGCAAGAAACTCAGCAAGGGCTGTTTTTTTCTCCCTGTATTGTTATATACAGTGTCGTCAAGTTGAAAAATGACTTCAGAAATACGTCTAAAGCTAGAAGAGGAAATGATTTAGTCACTTTCCATTACATCATTTAGAATATAAATATATAGTTACAATTAATTTTATAGTTAATATTATATTTAGTACTAGCGACCGCCCGCGACTTCATTCGCGTTTACTTGAATCTCACAGGAATCTGAAACTTTTCCAGGATAAAAATTATCCCATGTCTCCAATTTCACCCAAATCTGCTTGCGTAACGAACATACAAAGGAGATTGCTCAAATTGGCCTAAATACACAAAAAATATTGACATACACGGTAATTCTTGGCGTAATTTATAATTTAATTTACAGTCATTAGATTTCAATGGACACCTTTGTATAATATATTTACTTTAAAAAGGACTTTTAATTTTACCGGTTTGGAAAACATACGAATCATTTTTAATGGCTATGGGTGTAGTAACATTCAGCCAAAGACTGATCGAAGTTGTTTATATAACACTAGTGGCCCGCCTTCGCTTCGCTTCGGTGTAGAGCTGAAGTGTAGACTACAGTTTTTGTTCTCAGGCTTGTATTATACACAATGACATTCATCTATGATTCTTCTTATACCTGCATGCAAAGTCTCAGCCCGATCGGTTTAAAATTTCATACAAACTTTCATTCCCTATTTTATCCTCTTGGGGGTGGAACTGATCAAAATTCTTTCTTAGCGGATGCCTACGTCATAACATCTACCTGCATGCCAAATTTCAGCCCGATCCGTCCAGTGGTTTGGGCTGTGCGTTGATAGATCACTATGGCAGTAAGTCACCTTTGAGTTTTATATATATAGATATTTGTTACGTCACCGTAAACTGACGATATGAGATGTTGTTGGGATTGCACTATACAACATAATTCAGGCGTCAGAATAAGTTTTCCTTGGTGTAGCAGTGGATATGTACCTTCACCAATCCTTAATAATATATCAGAAAATTCACGATCATCCGGGTTATCTCCAGTTCTCACTCGCATGTTTATAGTCACATGCACCGATTGTATATCACGCCACAAATAATAGCTTTTCAGGCAAGCCCTAACCTCATCAGCTCGGGTTCTCCGTGGTATTACCGGTAAGGTTTGTCGGAAATCACCACAAAATAAAACTGCGATACCGCCCATTGGTCGATCATTTTGTCTTCTTATCCGTTACACAAAAATAAATCCTTATAGCATGATTCAGTATTCACGCGCGACGGCGCGATGGCTTATTTCATGTATAAGTTTGGTGTTTCTATACCGATTTCTATGATTCTTTTTTTATTGAATAGGTAATAATGTTAACTTTTTTAAATTAGGGATGAGTGAGAGTATTATAAACGTTAGAGTAAACAAATATAATCAGAATGCTCCGAACTGCTAAGCTATCAGGAGTTACATGTGTTATTGTAAGTCAACCATAAAAGATAGACATATGCTGTAGCAGGATATTTTTTAGAAAATTTTATGTAGAATATTTCCGTCATACATAACTTCTATGTAACTTTAACCATTAAGGCAGCGCACGCGACGGAAGCTTAAAAAATGGAGTAACTTCTCCCGTTTTCCCAACATTTCCCTTCATTACTCTGCTCCTATTGATTGTAGCGTGATGAAAAGTATACTATAACCTGCCCAGGAGTATGAACAATAATTGTACTAAGTTTCGTTAAAATCCGTCGAGTAGTTTTTGTTTCTATAAGGAACATACACACAGACAGACAGACAGACAAAAATTTTACTGATTGCATTTTTGGCATCAGTATTGATCACTAATCACCCCCTGATAGTTATTTTGAAAATATATTTCATGTACAGAATTGAGCCCTCTACAGATTTATTATAAGTATAGATATAGGAAGCGGCATTAGATAGGTACAATATTACTGTTATGAAAAATGACTAATACCCATTTAATAACAAATTATAAGAAACATTATGTTCATGCATTACGATCATTAAGATAATCATCAACTTTATAATAGCCCTTATTCATAAGAGTATTTTTGATCTGAGATTTAAATTTAGCCAGTGGAATATTGTTATTACCAATGAAAAAGAGAAGAAACGAGCGTGAGGCATTTGAAAACCTTCGGCGGTCAGAAATAACAAAATTAAATTGTAAGCGATACTGATAGCTATAGCAATCACGTTAGGCTATTTGCCCCCTTTAGGAATTATCGGATATACACACGGACACGAAAAGCTACATTATTATATACTTTATACGTAAAACTTACGTCAAAGCGGTTTCATTATCTTATCGATCTCGTTTCCTCTTGTTTGTCATGAGTTTTTTGACAGCAACCGCACCGATATGTACCTAATATTGGAAATATTCGACAGGCACTTGAAATAAATAAATATATATAGTAGATAATATGATTATATGATACTCACTGTGATATTATATCGTAACTAGAATAGGGAAAAATTGTAAGAAAGGTGTCCGATAATCTTTTGCTTACTTATTCGTATAAGGAAGTAACCCCCTTACCCAATAAAGAATTGTACATACATACATACATTCATACATATATGAACCCTGAAAACACTGCACTGCTTTTTGGGTAGTCGTGTAAAAAGTACATAATAATAATTCTTTACTTTATTATTAAATAATAATAATAATAAAATAAACACTTTATTGCTCACATACAAAAGGAAATACGTACAAAGAATACACATTTAACAATAATATGGGCAAAGGCGGTCTTATCGCTACAAGCGATCTCTTCCAGACAACCTTCGCGGTATAGGCAAGCTAAACGGAAAAGAAGATGTAGTAAGCCAGCAGAGTCGATGAGAAATTTAAATATGTAATTAATATAATATCATCATCATCATCAGCCTATTAATGTCCCCACTGCTGGGGCACAGGCCTTCCCTATGGATGGATTAGGGAGATTGGGCCATGACCCACCACGCGGGCCCAGTGCGGGTTGGTGGGTGCTAACGACTGCAGATGCAGCCGCGACCAACGGCTTAACGTGCCTTCCGAAGCACGGAGGAATTCCAGATAGTAAATTTTTGGTCACCCATCCAATGACCGACCACTGCGAAAGTTGCTCAGCTTCAACGACCGCGGCCGAACGCGCTAACCACTGGCGCCATCGAGCTCCTCTCATCATAACTAAAGATAAAAAGGGTTTATTATTTTCTGCTCTCCAGTTTTTTTGGGCGTTTAAATTTTTTGCTAAATTGTTTCAAGTTTGATGATCATTTTAATATGCGCCATCCATATGTACCTTGTTTTTGCGAGACCCCGATTGCAAGCGCCATCCATTATCACGGAATAGCTACCATAATGTTTGTGACTATGAAAGTTTAAAACAGTTATGTTTGTATTGTTCTCAGAGAGCCCAGTCAGGAACTGGTGGCGGTTAGAGTGCCAATAAATGGCATGACATGCCAGTCCTGCGTGCGAAGCATAGAGGGATCTGTGCAGGAGCTACCAGGAATACAGCACGTGAAGGTTGGTGGAAGTCGAGCCACTTGTTCTGAGGGGTTATTCTACCTTATCCCTCCATCACATTTTCTTCATCATCTTTCTTTATTATATCTCCACACTAGATGTCTTTAATGGTGATAAAAAATTGTTTATTTTTGGCCTTTTTCGAGGGCTTCTAGTTTCTTTGAAACCCAAGTTATGGATAAAAGGAAAACATAGAAGCATAGAATGAGTAAAATTATATTTTATAGTAGGAGAGCCCAAGCGGGGATTTTTGGATTTACTCGAGCTCGGCAGAATAACATATGGGGAGCAACCTTGCACGTAGTTAAAGTTAAGTACTCCCACTATACCTGAGCCATCTATGTAGGCCGTACGTCTAGGACAGCAAAAATAAAATTTCAACAAACGGCCATGACTTTTGGTCGTGTCCAAATCGTCAGTCTTTTGAATAGGAGCTACTGGAGGGTTCACGTAACATCCCTTCTCAATGTCTACGCGCTCGGTTATTTTTTCCTATATTCTACCTCTTCGTACGGCCACCCCCATATCATGCAAACCGCGGCAGATCAATATTTTTTCCGTTCTTAGAAACGTTACATGAACCCTCTAGTAGCTTATATTCAAAAGACTGACGATTTGGGGGCGACCAAAAGTCATGACCATTCTTTGAAATTTTGTTTTTGCTGCCCTAGACGTTCGGCCCTACATAGAGGGCTCAGGTATGGTGGGAGTACTTGACTAGGTGCAAGTTGCTCCCCATATGTTATTCTGCCGCGCTCGAGTAAATCCAAAAATCTCCGCTTGGGCTCCCCTACTATTATGTGTGAAAATCAATTCTTTAGTGATAAAAATCAAGGAGCAATCAGTCGAGCACGTTTGTATGGAAATAAAATTGCGCGCCTCCCCTTAAAGTACATTATATACGTATAGTAAGTATACTTATATATGTACAGTACATGACTGTATACTATCCGTTAGCCAAGTATCCGATAACACAAGCCTTATAGTGCTTACTTTGGGGCTAGGCTAATTGGTGTGTGTGTTGGAAATATTTATTTATTATACGACACAGACGACCTCCGTGGCCGAGCGGTTTGCTCGCCAGGTTTCATGGTGTCGCCGACTCGAGAGTTCCTGGGTTTGAATCCCGGTGGGGGCAGATGTTTGTGTGATGAATACGAGCATTTGTACTCCACTCATGGATGTTTAATATGTATTTCTACATATATATTATATAGTATATATATACAGGGTGGAAATTTTGAATGCCACCCCCAGGGGAAGTACTCTAAATACTGGAGATAGATAATTTTACTCAAAGGAAACATTCCTTTATTTTTAAAAAGAAACACAACTGCATTCACAGTTTTTCGAATATTTGCTTGCCACACCCGGGAATCGAACTAGCGAAAATTCTAAAAAATTACACCCTGTATTTTAATGGCATCGATCGATAGGGTCGATCATAGGGATTATATCTTCCTACCAAACTTAGTACATTAAATGGAAGGAAAAGCGTGAAACCTTAACTTGTAAGTATTTTTATTATCTTCGACGTCATTTATTCATTCAAATAACGAATAAAAATTTTTTGCACATGGCTAAAATGCAGACTAAAGAGTCCAGTAAGGTACCAGTCTCAGGGGGGGCGCCGTACAACCTCTTTGGTACCAGTAATTTAAATGAGGTATGCAAAGAGGTATGCTACATATTTTTGAAAATGGAATAGCGAATTAGAACGCTTGTCTTAAGTCTTGTTTGCTGCATCAAAATTTACCATAATAAATAATGGCTTATCAAGATCAATTTGATTTAATTGAAGCATATTTTTTTAATCACAAAGATGTGAATTTAGCTCTGCGGTAGGGATGCTCGATGAACATCGATGTTCGATGATCATCGATGTTAACTCACGGCCTCACGCACGACACGACCAATGCAACTTACGAAACAAAATATGTCTTATAAGAACGCATCCACAAATCAAGTTTATTTTGAACGCGTATTCATTGAGGGCGCACCGGTCGTTCGTTCCTTTCATTCGTACGTTCTTCGTCGTTTCCTCGCTCGCCAGATCCAAGTGATCCAACAGAACAATTTAATTTGTGGAGCGAACATTATAAACTTGTAAATGTCAAAAACTCTACGCCTTCCCCTCATGACCACGAAATGCCTTCCGAGTTGAGCTACTTTTTGAAAAATCCAGTATCTGATCTTAAACAAGATCCTATCCAAGTTTGGAACAATGTCCTCGGTTCCACTTACCCAAAATTGAAAAAAATAGCGGTGAAATATTTGAGTACTATCGCGACATCAACGCCATCTGAAAGACTGTTTTCAAAAGCTGGCTCTACTCTTTATCAACAAAGAAATAGATTAAAAGGTTCTTCATTATCAAAATTACTCTTCCTTCAGTCAATTGATACAAAATATTGGAATATGTAATCATTTGATCTGTTTCTTAATAAATCCCGAACTTTTACACTGTGTTTTATTTTTTTGTCAGTTATTATTGCATAAATCATCGATGGTATCCAACATCGATGTTCGGTTTTCGATAAATATCGAACATCGATGTCGGGCTTTCGATTATGACATCATCGATGTTTTTCGAAAATCGATCATCCCTACTCTGCGGTGGTATGGAGAGACATATCCGGATCGACAAGTACGAACTCGATTCGTTTTAAAGAGTATGGTAGATAATTTAAAAAATACTCGAAGTTACAAAAGGCGACAGCAACAGCAACGTCCTCAGCAGGTCGATTCATGCTTTTCCTTTAATTTAATGTACTAAGTTTGTTAGTAAGATATGATCCCTATGATTGACCCTATCGATCGATGCCATAAAAATACAGGTGTAATTTTTTCGAATTTTTGCCAGTTCGATTCCCGGGTGTGGCAAGCAAATTTTCGAAAAACTGTGAATACAGTTGTGTTTCTTTTTAAAAATAAAGGAATGTTTCCTTTGAGTAAAATTATCTATCTCCAGTATTTAGAGTACTTCCCCTGGGGGTGGCATTCAAAATTTCCACCCTGTATATATGTACAGTATATGTATTCTATCCGTTACCCTAGCATCCCATAACACAAGCCTTACAGTGCTTACTTTTTGGCTAGGCTTATTTGTGTGAGTGTTGGAAATATTTATTTATTTATTATGCTAAAAAGCATTGCTTTTTTGCTTCGTACAGGTGGAGCTGTCTGAGCACGCCGGGTACTTCAGATATGACCCTCGCGTGTGCTCGCTGGAGGCCATTCGGTCGCACATAGAAGACATGGGGTTCGACGTTCCGCCTGACAACGCAGACGACGAAACTAAGTGAGTGCCAATTATGCAACACGGATTGCGGCGGGATTTTTTTCTAGTAAAGCTCCCTTACATGTTACAATGAGCAAAAAGTTTTACGCAGCTTTGAAACTTGTGTTTGTGTAATAAATAAATACTCATTATGAGATTCATTTACAGCTGCGTTAGAGTTATGTCGATTCTTACTGTCTAAAACACACCTGTGGACGCCACTGAGATAGGAATTATTTTTCACTTGGGCTTAAGGCGTTGAACGACGCACGGTTGCACTTATATGTGCACACTTAGTATTTCTGTACAGACATCCTGAATATTCCACCTTATTCTCTTAGTACCCCATTTTATAAATAAATCGTTTTCGTTTGTTTCAGAAAACTGTTACCACGGGACATACCGACAGATCTCCTTATAGACATGTCCGCGGCGAGTGGCGACGAGAGCGAGCTGCTACTGGAAGTCATCGGCATGACTTGCCAGTCTTGCGTTAACTCAATAGAAGGTAAATAAAACTAAAGGAAATATTGCTAGAAAAAAATCCACGCGGACCAGGCAGCAGACGGGACTCGAACCCGCACCCTTCGCTATCCGGGCGAATGCACTGACAAACCGCGGCGCTGATGGCTGTGTCGAATTCTCTGTAGCCTTTCTTAACCTGCAAGGCAGCGCCATCTCTTCGCATTGTTGGTAACCTACAATGAAAAACAAAATACTGAGAGAATAATATTGAGAGAAGAAATAGCAATTGTAGATTATTACACTTTTATTTTATAATCATTTTACTGAACACAAGATAGAATTAAAGAAAATTTTACTAGAAAAAAATTCACTCGATCTAGGTTTCAGACGGGTTTCAAACCCGCTTCTTCATTTTGGATTCATCATCGTTTTGGATTCTTAACAAGCTCCGCAGTCGCAAGACAAGAATAGGCCTGTGAAAGATAGGAAATGGCTTTTTTGCGTGAAAATATTAACAAATAAATAAATTATAAGTATTGAACAGATCATCACATACATTTTTCTAATCCAGAGATTCTCAAACTATCTTCTCGTAGACCCCTTTTTAAGTTTTTTTGTTATGAAAGACCCCCCCCCCCCTCCATAGCAGGATGCTATAACATTCTTCCGTATTCCTGAAATTCGTAACTTATAAAGATAATTTATTTGCAAAAAAATGATTAAAAATAATTAATATATTTTCACCCGCCAATCGTGCAGTCGTTAGCACCCGCCAATCCGCATTGGACCCGCGTGGTGGGTCATGGCCCTATCTCCCTATTCCATCCATAGGCCTAGGCCTGTGCCCCAGCAGTGGGGACATTAATAGGCTGATGATGAATATATTTTACACTCTTTCAATGTGTCGTTGATACTTCATTGATATTTGCATGTAAATAGAAAATCTTTTGCCTATATGCCTAAGTGCTAATAGGGGTATTCCATTAATCATTCGTGGTGTTAAATTTTCGTATTTATTTATTTATAAGGTGCGTTAAAAGAAACGCAAGGCGTCACCCACGCGTCGGTAGATCTGGTCGCAGCGAGAGCCACCATCAAGTTCCTCAAGTCCTCGCTGTCAGCTCAGGAAGTAGCCGATGTGGTGTACAACTTGGGCTTCGACGTGACGGTGCTGCAGGTGGATGGGAAAACTTATGGTGAGTGGAAAAAAAACAGCTCTTGCTGAGTTTCTTGCCGGTTGCTCTCAGTACAAGGTCTCCCGCCATAGTATTTGCGAACCGACGGCGTAGCTTCTTAACTTTCACAAGTGCTTGTAACAGCCTAGACTGTATAAATGAATTTTTATTTTGTCGTAAACTTTCATTGTTGCTAAGATTATAGTATAGTAATAAGCCGGGTTGCTACTATAGAGTTCTACCCAGAATGGATAGAACCTGGGGACGTGCTTATTAATTAAACGATACTGGTAGAGATAAATTATTTATTTCTTTTTATCATTCAGGCGAATATAAAGAAATTTTATCTAAATACGAGAGGAAGTTCTTGGTGCCTGAAGATCTAATCTAGAATGGAACCTTCTATCAAAAGACAGACGATTCCTTATTTCAAATCTTAAAATCATGACATTAACTTTTTAATATAACTGCCAACCGTAGGCATTGCAAAAGCAAAGAGTTTACCTAAACAAGGAGGTTATAACGTTAAGGACGTTACATCCCTCCGGCACCTCTAAAAAAAAAATTGTTTTGTCATACCAGATGACCGAACAAAATTTTTTTTTCCTACCTACTACATCGAGAGGGTTCGACAGTCCTATCTAAAATCCCTACCTGCTTAAGGACATAAATACAACTGGGAGGTGGCCTTTACTACAGACTAGCCCTCACAATAAGTTTGCAAAACTTGCAAAAAAAAACTTTACGGGAAAAGAACCCTAACTGTTTGCAAAGTTTTATTGCAAAGACTTTACGGGAGCAAAACCTTAACAAAATCCCTCGCACATCTCCCTCCTAACCTTAACTTTACTTTACTTTACATCGACATCAGTCGGCAAAAACAAAAAAACAAAGCTAACCCTAGCTATAACTTAAATTACCCAAGCAATTTTTTTTTATCCCATCTATCAGCAAAACTTTACCCTATCCCATTTATTAAACCATTAAATATCAAGAAAATTTATATTTTGAAACTTCATTACTTCCCATACTAAGTAGATGTACGAAACGAAATTCAAACTATTTCCTAAGATTCGTAAACATTAACTGGATTTGAGCAAAACCTAAAAGAATTTATAATAATGTTTACTTTCGTACATCTTTAATAAAGATACAGACGTGGTCCACCACTTTATTGTCTTGTACTTTATTAGACACCCATGATGCGCAAACGTAATAGAAATTTTGGGTAAGGACATCTAGCATCAAACAAGATTAAACCCAATTCCCATGGAATACTAAGGGTTCCCTACCCCCAAGTCAAACTACTACAAGTGACGATTTTGACGAACGCGACGCGACCAAATTGAAACGAAAACGACGCGAATTCGTAGAGGGTGTCTCCATCATCTTCAGGGTGGATCATCGTCAGTATCGCTGACGTCTGCATGAGCGCCAGCCTGCTCTCTCTCGGGAAGTCCGCATCATGTGGTAGTACATAAAACAATCAAGAAAATATTAGTAAAATTCTTTACACCATTTTTCTTCAGTCGGGTAAGTTAATATTCAAGAAAACATTTATGATAAATTTTATAGCCTCTTTTCCATAGTTGGTAAATTTTCAAAGTATATCATTTATATTCTTTTATTTATTTTTTTAACCTTACAGGGAATCGAACCCGTTTCCTTTTTTATAATAAGGGAATTTTCTTTATGGACCTATATTATCCTATTATACATTATTAACTATATATATTCTATCCTAATACTGAATTAATCCTATCATGATCATATTCAAAGTCAATTGAATAATTCCAAGTTGAACAGAGAATCGAACCTGTTACCTATCATTCTTATGGTTATTACCATATCAATAATCCACTACTCAACAAATTACACTAAAGCTAACAATTAAAAGAAATGAAAATACTTTAATGAAACTACCTATTGATCTGTCATAAACAAAATGTGTAAAAGTTCCTTATAATATGTGTATTGAAAAAAATTTCTAATATAATGACAAAGTTATATTTAATATGCTTTTGAAATAAAATTCTAAAATGACTATTGTATTGAACCTTATTTACATACCACCATTGCTTTAAAACATTCATATAAACAATAAACTGAAATAAAATCTCATTAGTAACACAATATTATAATACTATCAACCTATTCGGCATAATATAAATTTTCATCATACACCGAATTATCACTATTCCTTTCATTATTCTTTTGTATATATTGTCTTTTAAACTTGCACTTAATATGTTTGATTATTAATTGTTCATTATAAAAGTCTACTATCGCATTATTTCGAAGTAAGAAATCCTGTCCTAAGATGAGGTTATGCCTAATATTCTCTACCACAAGAAAATCGTGAATGAATAACACATTGTCTATCAATAATTTAAGGTTAACTTTCCCTATAACAGACAATTCTTTACCATCGACAGCTTTCAACTTCATATCGCTTTCATCAATTCGTTGATGAATTCTATTAACTGTGTCCTTCGACACCACAGACACTGCAGCACCACTATCAATGAGCCCTACAAACTTCTTGTCACGACACGTTATATTAATTAAAGGTTTGGACTCACTTGTATGCTGATTGTGTTTTCTGACGACTGTGATGGTGAACTTCTTCATCAGCCATCTCATTGAATCCTTCATAAAAAATTTCTTCATTTGCTTCTTCTTCTTTGTTTTTTCTTTTTGTTCATATTGCTGGAACAAAAAGTGCGGGGAATCATGTGTTCGGGAGGGACAATGGGATGAGAAAGGACACTTTGGGAGGAAATGAAGTTGATTTCCTTCTCTTGTTCTTCTTGCCTTATTATATGCGAAATTTTCGCCGCTTCGAAGTTTGTCATTGGTGTAACAAACGATGGTTGGATCGGCAGATTCCAACAAATTTCGACGCTTTCGTCCCAAAATATCCTGTGCTTGTCGTAAAACATTTCAAATGTGTTTTATCACTATATAATGAAATGCGAAAAGATTTTTTGTATTTAAATTCGCATTTTTCAAGAACTGTCTAATGAAGCATTTGTCATCGATGACAGCTCCCGCTTTTGTGGCCAGCTCATCCAATACATAAAAAAAGGTCAATGGCTCTTCTGACAAGCCTTGTCTTCGTGAGAAAAATTTTTCCAACGCATTTATCGATGATGGAAATTCCTCACAAATTTTCTTTTCTAGAATCTGAAAATTCTCACAAGACTCATTAATATTTTTATAAAATAACAAGCAGGTCCACTTAAATATGCCGACAACACAACTCTTTTTGTATCCTCGTTGAAATTATTGATGCGGCGATGATATTAAATTGACGAAAGAAATCGGTTACATCACCTTTTCCGTCGAATGTGGTCCTGGTCTCCATCTTCATAAAACTACTTCTTTCTTGATTTAAAATTATTTTTCACTCGCGGTACTTGAAGCTAACGCGGCGCGTCCACCATATAGAGTTCTACCCAGAATGGATAGAACCTGGGGACGTGCTTATTAATTAAACGATACTGGTAGAGATAAATTATTTATTTCTTTTTATCATTCAGGCGAATATAAAGAAATTTTATCTAAATACGAGAGGAAGTTCTTGGTGCCTGAAGATCTAATCTAGAATGGAACCTTCTATCAAAAGACAGACGATTCCTTATTTCAAATCTTAAAATCATGACATTAACTTTTTTTAATATAACTGCCAACCGTAGGCATTGCAAAAGCAAAGAGTTTACCTAAACAAGGAGGTTATAACGTTAAGGACGTTACACTACCGTCTCGATAGATCTCGAGACTTGAAATATTGGGTTACTCTGTAATCATGTCACTTGCAACAATGCCGAAATATCGGAACTCGTAAAAGTAAGATATCTATCTGATAGCAATCCCATTAACTACTTTAAAATAAATTCAAATCAAATCACCTGATCAAACCCTATAACCAGGGCTTGTTTACCGGTTAATTTTCAAACCTAAATCAGTATCAAGTACATTAGGAGCGTTTTATTTCGGTTTGGCTCTACCTTAGCCTTAAAAACCGGTTTTCCTAAAAAGCGAAATCAAGTAGGTTTTGTATCAATTTAGCGGTTTTTAAAAAGTTTCATTTCGCTCTTACTGATGGCATCGCCTTCGCCGTTTCAATTCAAATTTATAATGATTTTATGTCAGTTTCTTTCCAACTACAGAGCGAGTGAGTGAAGTAGTGTGTCAGTACACAACTACAAAATGAATAACTTGACTCACTAGACACTAGCAAACGTGTCAATAAATGCATCAATCTCTGAGCATTAACATGTTGTGACTTGATTAGTTCAAACAAAACAAACTTCAAGCGATGCCGGCCGTGCACGTGTCGCTCTGGATTAAACCGGTTTATTAAGGTTTTAGGTACCGCTTTCATTTCGGACGCACTCCGAACGAAACCTTTCTAAAGCCCTCAAGTTAAAACGCGGCTATATGACAAAACCAACTTTTTAAGATATGGCCAATAAAACGGCGTGCAAACTTTAATTTATTGCTATTTTGTAACCATTCATCAAATGACGGATTTTTAGACTTAAATTACAAAACAAACTAATACTTGTTAAAAACAGGTCGATAGAGAATTAAAAACTTCATAAGACGCAATTTGAGACTGAAAAATCGACCACATGTTACTTAGCCGCACTTTAGTTTGAGGACGGCAGTTTTGTTTGCCCGACACCGTCTTTCAGCCCGTATTCTAGTGTAAATATTGCTTCGGGTGCCCGAATTAGAATAATGTCTTTCGTGCACCCGTATACGGGCTGACAACTTAATGAAATAGCAGCATAATATTAATTATTTTACTTTGAGGAGCTTGATGGCGCCGGTGGTTAGCGCGATCGTTGAAGTAAAGCAACTTTCGCAGTAGTTCCTCCGTGCTTCGGAAGGCATGTTAAGCCGTTGGTCCCGGCTGCATTTGCAGTCGTTAGCACCCAACCGCACTGGGCCCGCGTGGTGGGTCATGGCTCAATCTCGCTATTTCATCCATAGGGAAGGCTTGTGCCCCAGCAGTGGGGCTATTAATAGGCTAATGATGAATGAATTATTTATTTGTTTCAAGTGAATCTTTTGTGACTGTTGGTTTTGTTTCAGAATCTTCGTCAGAGGGCAGAAGTGAGGAAGGGTCGGGGGATGGTCTTAAATCGTCACCTTCAATTGACAGTAAGAAGAAAGCCAATGTGAGTAGTTTACAGATTTTTTCAGTGTTAACACAAAATAGAAAGTAGTCTGAAGAACGAGCCATTGTCGAAACTATTCTAGTAAATTTCCCGCCAACGCGTATCGATTTATAATTAAATTTTAACACAATTTCACAATATTTTGTGATAATAACCAAACCAAACCTACAGATTCAAAATAACATATTGTTTGCAATGAGTCTGATGAATGCAACGCCATCTGTCAATGTGTTTCGCGATTTTGATTTCTTCCCCGTATTCTCGAAGATGTAACGCCCCCTTGTACACTTTTAGAGCCCATGAGGGGGCATTATAACCAACTTTGAGAAAGACTGGTGTAAGATTCGACGACCTCCATGGTGTCCTCCTACTCAGAAGTCCTGTTGGATATAGATATTAAAAGTCAAAATCACATTTTTTTTTCATGATTTTACATGAATATTTTTAAAACGTTAGAGATTTTTTTATCGACGCATTTACACGCACGCACTCACATACACACAGGCGCATTCTTTCCGTAACGCAACAGTTGTAGTTTATTAACTACATTTTTTTTGCATTTTTACGTTAAAAAAATACAAATTTAGTTCTCTTAAAAATACATTTTTTTCCCACATATAATATTTTGTAATATTACTTGTTTGGGTGTACAGAATGCGTAGTTTGAGTTTTTGTCATAGGATTTTTTACACCCTGTATATCTATAGATGGGTAAGGTTCCAATCCTCCACGGGGTATGGGATTGGGCCTTCGCTTACCGGATCATATGCTTATTTGTCACCATGATATGATATGAGTGTTTTGAGGAGTTATTCTCCCTTATCCCCCCATCACCTTTTCTTCAGAGGACCGCGCGCGCTGGCCTCATAGAGGTATAACAATAGAGTAGGGGAGATACATGTGGAAGTGTCCCTCTAATAGAAACAGAAAGAAGATGAGAGATCGCTAGCTTTCTCTCTCTAATCGCGCATGCGCATTGGCAAACCGTAAGCATCTTACTGCACGGCGGACCAACGTGTCCATACTTGAGGAACTCGGCATCACCACAAGGTTGTCCACCATCTGTTACCAGCGCATACTAAAATATTTCGGACACATGGCTCGCAGAAACCCTGACAGCCTAGAGAAGCTGATGGTGGTTGGCCAGGTCGACGGGAGAAGATCACGCGGTCGGTCTCCTACCCTCTGGTCAGACCCAGTAAAGTCGCTCACTGGCCTATCAATAACCAAGGCTATAAAGACTGCCGAGGACAGGAATGCGTGGAGGGGCATAGTACATCAGGTGGTCAACATATCTAGTTAGACACGACCTTCAGCAATGAAGATAGCGACTAAGAAGAAGAAGCATCTTACTATTTCGATGTGATGCTTGGACCAACTATTGGACAGACGACTGCGCATGCTTCACAAGAGAGAGATAGCTAGCAGTTTCTCATCTTCTTTCTCTTTCTACAAGACGGACACTTTTAAAGCCGCCTTCCCCACTCTATTCGTATACCTCTATGGCTCGTCTACGTTGTCACCGATTTACTGTGGCCACTATTCCTACACGAACAAAGAAATTTGGTGACTCATTTCTTTGTCGTACCATTCGTAAGTGGCATTCTTTGCCCGCGCACGTGTTCCCTCCTTCCTACGATCTGTGGGTCCTTTAAGAGAGGCGTGAAGAAGGCCGGCGAGGTGAGGATGGTTGGTGTAGCAGTTTATAACTGCTGTACCAGCTATCTTCGGGTTGGACTTTATTGCCACTTAAAATCAGATGGGGTAGAGTCATTTGCCTCCCTGGCTATATATGTATATAAAAAATATTTATGGAAGTATTTCGTTTTCTATAGGGTGTGGTATCAGTACCAGTTGCGACGGAATTGTCTCGTTGTACGCTGGAAGTGCGCGGTATGACATGTGCCTCGTGTGTCGCTGCCATAGAGAAGCATTGCTCCAAGCTCTACGGTCAGTGGAAAATTTATTTGTTTGTTTATTTAATGTAATAGGTAATTGTGCTTCGTGTCTTGCCGCCATAGAGGAACATTGTTCTGAACTGTGGGACAATTATTTATTTATATAATAGGTACTTGTGCCGCGTTTGTCGCCGCCATAGAGGAACATTGCTCCCAGCTCTATAGTCAGTGGGACATTTATGTATTTATTTAGGATAATCAGTTTCAGCTACAATTAAATGTGTTAATTAGGATAAAATAAACAGAATATGAGCTCGATGGCGCAGGTAGATAGCGCGTTCGGCCTGCGATCGAGGAAGTTAAGCAACTTTCGCAATGGTCAGTCATTGGATGGGTGATCAAAAACTTATTACCTCTCCTCCGTGCTGCGGAAGGCACGAATTATATTATGCATGTAAGTAGATTTTGGCAAATTGGCAACAAAACCCTTAATTATTTCATTTATCTGTTTTAAATCATCATCATCAGCCTGTTGATGTCCCCACTGCTGGGCACAGGCCTTCCCTACGGATGGAATAGGGAGATTGGGCCATGACCCACCACGCGGGTCCAGGGCGTATTGGCGGGTGCTAACGACTGCTAAAGCAGCCAGTACCAACGGCTTAACGTGCCTTCCGAAGCACGGTGGAGTGAGAGATAGAAATTTTTTGGTCACCAATCCAATGACCGACAACTGCGAAAGTTGCTTAACTTCAACGATCGCAGCCGAGCTTCTCGAGCAGTTACATGCTTAAAAATATATATGTATATAAATACATGTTTGTTCTTATTTCAGGCGTACAATCTATACTAATAGCATTATTAGCGGCCAAAGCGGAAGTTCAATACGAACCGCGTAAGATTTCCGCCGCTGACGTGGCTAATTCTATAACGGAACTGGGGTTCCCTTCCGAAGTGATCAGCGACTGCGACGGCAGCGGACAGAAGGAACTGCAAGTCACGGTGAGTTTCGAAACATATTTATTTATTTATTTTATTCTTTTTTACCAAAATACAGTGAATGGCGGACTTAATGCCATTCTCTACCAGTCAACAAGAGTGCGAGCTACTAAAGTTAGTAAAAAAAAATATCCTACTTAACTTTACTATACTATAATAAACGTTGAGAACTTCGGAGATTTTGTGTGGTTTCGTTTGAAATTCGTGATTTCTCGAAAACCGGAAGTGCTACGTTACTCAAATCCGGTTTGTAGTCTTTACAGACTATTCTTAACTTATAACTTAAATATTCTCTTTATCTATCTCTTACGGTTTGGCCGCTGAAACAGCACCACAGACAGACGGACGGACTTGTCTAATAGATAAGAGATTAAATATCATAAATACACATATAAATAAATAAATATATATACAGGGTGTTACAGAATTCCGAAATATAATTTGTAGGTATGTATTCCGAAATAAAAATTTGTAGGTATCTGAGCGGGGCGCGGGGGCGCCTGGGGGAGAGAGTTGTTCTGTAGTAGTAATCGTACGCATTTATAGGGTTGTCATAGGCAGGTGTAAAACGATATTTTTATTAATTTAGTTAGAAAATAAAAGTGGTCTGATACGCGTCAAACTTTCGTAGGTAATTCTATACAAAGAACACAACCAAACCCTTAAGTTTTATTTCGGACTGTTGTCACACCCTGTATATATTAGCTTATATATTGTAATAGAAACATTTATTTATTTATTTATTTTAATGAAACAGTTTTCTTTTAATATACTACTGTAAAGTTAAAAATACGACGGTATTGAAATTTTCTGAAATAGGGCTGAGTCTGTATTTTTCATTCCTTATAAAGCATGACAAGGACAGACTGTTGTCAAATTTACAAATAGCAAACACGAATAGCCAAGTGAAGAGCCGGCATGTTAGAGAAAGAGTTTGATTACGGTGCTTAAGAGACATACATACACACGCACGGGTCAAAATATTTTTATAGCAATTGAAAAGTAGGTAATTAATTAACTAGGAAATTGATATAAACTGTCAAGATAGTTGCGTGCGAGTCAAATACTAGGTTTTTTTTTATAAAATTCAGAGTAATAGAAACCTAATCCAAATAAGCTTTACAATTGACGACCTCCGTTGCCGAGTGGTTTATACGCCGGATTTCATGGTGTCGCCAACTCGAGAGGTTGGCGAACCCGGGGGTTCGAATCCCGGTGGGGGCAGATGTTTGTGTGCTGAATACGAGCATTTGTACTCCAGTCATGGATGTTTAATATGTATTTCTATATAAATATACTTATATATGTACAGTATATGTATTCTATCCGTTACCCTAGCATCCCATAACACAAGCCTTACAGTGCTTACTTTGGGGCTAGGCTAATTGGTGTGAGTGTTGGAAATATTTATTTACTATTATAAGCTGCTTCACCATTCATCGATTTCGTCCCCATCTTAACTTCCCCTTGTTAGCTCCCAGCGACCCCAAGGGGGCGTTATCAAACAGTTTGAGAAAGACATTGAAGTTCAATAAACAAGAAAAATTATAAGGGGTCAACCATAAAGTACGTCACACTAATTTCGTGTTTTTTTTTTGATAGGTAGTCTTATTGGTTTATTGTACGTCAATGGGTGGAAACCATTAAATATATCTAATATATAAAATTCTCGTGTCGCGGTGTTTATGGTTAAACTCCTCCGAAACGGCTCAACCGATTTTCGTGAAATTTTATATGGATATTCAGTAGGTCTCAGAATCGGATGTAATCTATTTTTCATCCCCCTAAATCTTAAGGGTAATCCACCCCTAAATTTTTTTTCAATTTTAGATAATTTTTTTTTTATTTTTTTTATGATACATCATACAAAAATACATACATCCCTAAATTTTCAACTTTCTACCACCAACCCCTATTTTTTTATGGCGGTACGAAGTTCGCTGGGTCAGTTAGTTAATGTATATTTATATTCATGTATGTATATAAATGTATATATCATTACCTATATCACTCAAGTAATTTACGCCGCCATCTCTCCCGCGTCCTCTGCGTCTAGTCCGCGTCTAGTTCTCTCCATCCAAAGGTTGTGTAGGAAGGCCAAAGGGGAAGATCTTCCTCCGAGCTGGGTGATGTTAGTCGGGCACCGTATATATGAAGAGTTAGCCTCCGAATTTCATTTGCGCGATGTAGGCTTCCATACTATTAAGATCGCAGTGCAGGTAATGCCATCTCTTGAGGATGGTGAGTAATGATTTCCTCCATCCGTTGTATATATGTGGGGCATATAGATGTCGCCGCCACAGTTGTATGGAAGAGATCGCTCTCAGCGATAAGGCCGCTCATCGTTACACTAGTTTTAATTGGTTATGTAATGTTATCTGAGGTGTACAATAAAGTGTTTTGTATTGTATTGTATTTTTGTATTGTAAAACCATTAAAATAAGTTATATCTCCAATGTTTTTAGATAAAAGGCATGACTTGCGCGTCGTGTGTGAATAAAATCGAGAAGACAGTACTTAAATTGACCGGCGTCGCTTCCTGTGCAGTCGCCTTGACTACCTCCAGGTAATTATGTTTGTTTATTTATAACTAGAGGAGCTCGATGGCGCAGGTGTTTACCACTTTTGGCTGCGATCGTTGAAGTTAAGCAACTTTCGGTGTGGTCGGTCATTGGATGGGTGACCAAAAAAATCTCTCTCGAGTTCCTCCGCGCTTCGGAAGGCACGTTAAGCCGTTGGTCCCGGCTGCATCTGCAGTCGTTAGCACCCGCCAGTCCGCACTGGGCCCGCGTGGTGGGTCATGGCCCAATCTCCCTATTCCATCCATAGGGCAGGCCTGTGCCTCAGCAGTGGGGATATTAATAGGCTGATGATGATAATGAATGATTATTTACCGAAATTATTTTCTTATTACAATTCTTCAAGCCATTTTACTAGCTGCATCAATGTTACACCCTGTATATAAAAGAAGAAGATTGAAATATTTATTGCTCTTCACTTAATATGAAATATATATTGCTCTTCATTTTATAACATAGTTAATATAATGTACATACATATGAGCTAAAAAATCTAGCAAATAGTACTGCAATTAATTTAATTTAGTTCCAGTTTAATAAAGCATTTATTATTTAAAGTAAATATATAATTATATTTAATTTCGTTTAGTTTAATGTAATAATTGCAATCTAATTAATTTCATTTGACATGTAATACTACGAGTTACAATTTATTTCTTACAATTATGGTTGCTTTCCAATTACAGCAATATAGCGCATTATGCGGCATAATGCTTAACGTTGAGTGTTCCAACTACAGCAACGCTTCGCATAATTGAGCACTCTCAAAAGTGATGCTTTCGTGTGATGCGTGCAATCGTACCAACTCAGAGACAGAAAATTAACAAGTGTTTTTTCTTTAAGTTGGCATTGATCGAAATGATTTATTTATATGTTATCGTTAGTTATATTATTTATTGTTGAAAAATTATTAAAGCTTTCGTTTCATTAAATAGTTTTTTTTTTAAATAATCAAAGTTCATTCAAACTTTTAAAAAAATAAATATAAGTATGGGTGAAGGTACAAACATTGACTTTTTTTTCAACACTGAACTTAGCGCACTCTGCTGGTGCATTTGAAAACTAATTCACGTTCCAATTAAGCATCAGCATAATTCAGCATAGTGCGGCACTGAGTTGCATTATGCTCTGTAATTGGAAAGCAACCTATATTTGTTAAATCATAATAATTATGAATGACTTCAACATTGTTTGGTTTATAAGTAAACAACCAATATTAAATATGTATACTTATGTATGATAAACACTAAATATATAATAATTGACGACCTCCGTGGACGAGTTGTTTGTACGCTGGGTTTCATGGTGTCGCCGACTCGAGAGGTCCCAGGTTCGAATCCCGTTGGGGGCAAATGTTTGTGTGATGAAAACGAGCATTTGCACTCCAGTCATTAATGTTTAATATGTATTTCTATTTAAATATACTTATATATGTGTCAGTATATGTATTCTATTCGTTGCCTTAGTATCCCATAACACAAGCCTACAGTACTTACTTTGGGGCTAGGCTAATTGGTGTAAGTCTAAAAAAGTATTCGCAAGTGGCATTCTTTGCCCGCGCACGTGTTCCCTCCTTCTTACGATGTGGGGTCCTTTAAGAGAGGCGTGAAGAAGCATTTTTGCAGACCGACAAGGTGAGGATGGTTGGTGTAGCAGTTTATAACTGCTGTACCAGCTATCTTCGCGTTTGGACTCTATCACCACTTAACATCAGGCGGGGTAGAGTCCTTTGCCTACCTGGCTATATCCTGTATATGTAAAAAATCCTTTAACGAAGTCGAAAGTTACGTATTTTCCACATCATGACGATTATTTTTTTCTTTTGGTCCATACATGGGAAATTTATGGTTATGGACATATTGAAGGTCAAAGTCACAATTTTATCTTAAAATTTATACATTAATATTTTCAAAACATTATTTAGAAACTTATTTATCGACGCACCTACACACACGCACAGACATACAAATAGGCACATTCTTTGCGTAGCGCCATAGTAACGCTACACATTGCGTACTGGAAATAAAAATTGGATTTTTTAACTTAAAAATACAAATTATTCCCACTTACAATATTTTGTAATATAACTTGTTTGGGTGTAAATTATGCGTAGTTTTAGTATTTATCATAGGTTTTTTTTACACTCTGTATATAAAAAATAATAATATCATATTTTTAGGGGTAAAATTAAATACAACGTGGAACAGATAGGCCCCCGTACCATTTGCGAGGCGATCACCGCTCTGGGTTTCGAAGCTACCGTCCTAGGACCGCAGAACAAAGGGACAGCCAACTATCTCGAACACAAGTAAGTTGATATTAATAATAACTGTGGAATATATTGTCGCCAGCAGTGTTTCCGGACCAATACGACCCAAAAGCCTTTAAAAAAAGAGCGTACTCCTTCCTTAAAGGCCGGCATCGCATTTGTGATACTCCTGGTGTTGCAAGTGTCCATGGGCGACGGTGATCACTTACCATCAGGTGAGCCGTCTGCTCGTATACATGGACCGACTATAGTATTTGCCGACTAACCGACTAGTTGACTAATCGGTTTTCGAATTGCCGACTATTCTGCAATGCCGATCATTCTAATACCTATCTTAGGAAGGTGTTCGGAATATTTCGTCACTACTCGGCTTGCGGCGGCGGCTTGAGGAGCTCGATGGCGCAAGTGGTTATCGCGTTCGGCTGCGGTCGTAGAAGTTAAGCAACTTTCGCAGAGGTCGGTCATTGGATGGGTGACCAAAAATTTACTATCTCTCAGTCCTCCGTGCTTCGGAAGGCACGTTAAGCCGTTGGTCCCGGCTGCATCTGCAGTCGTTAGCACCCGCCAATCCGCACTGGGCCCGCGTGGTGGGTCATGACCCAATCTCCCTATTCCATCCATAGGGAAGGCCTGTGCCCCAGCAGTGGGGACATTAATAGGCTGATGATGATGATGATGATGACTCGGCTTGCTCACGCACGACACGAGTCTCCCAAATGGAGCCGAAATATTCATGTTCCAACATCACAATTTGCCTCTAAGGAAAAAAGAAATTACCTATGGACTTCTTTAAGACTCGATAGCACTTTAGATGTTTTATATTTACTCAATTAATACGTACTTACTTCTCATACTCATACTTATTGCCATTTTGTTATGTGCGATATTCATTGTGTTATCTGAATTACTGACGTATTCTTAAGTTTCTTATTCTTATTATGTTACCTTATCTCTTATCTATTAGACAAGTCCGTCCGTCCGTCTGTCTGTGGTGCTGTTTCAGCGGCCAAACCGTAAGAGATAGATAAAGAGAATATTTAAGTTATAAGTTAAGAATAGTCTGATAAGACTACAAACCGGATTTGAGTAACGTAGCACCTTCCGGTTTTCGAGAAATCACGAATTTCAAACGAAAACACATAAAATCCCCGAAGTTCTCAATTAATTAAATACATTTTTTTTAAATCAGGTTTTGGTGAACATTTGGTTCACTGGTTTGCTAGTTTTTTTTTTAATAATTTAAGACTGTAGGTAACTTTAAATACATACTCGAGGTACTGTTTAAATATTCAAAACAAGCATAAATTTTGAGTTTTAAGTCATTGTTATGTGCCGATTATAATCGGCATGTTTTGCCGAATAGTCGCTGACTAATCGCCGACTGTCAACGATGCCGAATAGTCGTCTTTCACGACTCGGTCGGCGGCTAGTTGGTCCATCTCTAATAATAATAATCTTTATTTAGTCCAGCATATATAAGTAACATTGCGTCTTATAAACTATAGACACCATATATGAGCTTAAGAATATAAAACACAATCTTCAGCATCTGCTGCCGAACTAGGATTTTCATCCTGTATTTCAGTATACAGAGTGGCTCAATCCTCAGGTTTAGACAATTACTTGTATTTGTTTCTTAGGTTTTCACGCACATCACTCATTAAATAAAACCAGTTTATTACGGGTTAATGCACGAAACTTTATTTATTTATTGACGTTTCGTAGCCTTTACAGGCTACGTCGTCAGAATCAAATTTTATTTAATTTTGTCGAGCTACCTTCGAAAGACTTATTGAGCGTTCGGTTATTTCATTGTTCGATTTTTTAAATTTTATTGTCTATGTATGAATTTATTACTTAATTTAGTTAATAAAGTACTTTATTTAAAATTACTTGTACCCTATAAGCTAGTAAAGTTCATGTTTAATGCTGATATAATAAGCTAAATGCTGATATAAAAAGAATATTCAATCTGTCATAATCACCAGCCTTTGTTCTTATAATTTTACTAGCTGTGCCCCACGGTGTTACCCGCAGTTTATCAGGGAAAATTAATTTTCATCGATTCTCCCATGGGAATAATATATTTTCCCGCAGTAAAACGCAGCTTTTGCGTTATTCCAGGTTGTCAGATAACTCCTTACCAAATTTTATTAAAATCGCTCCAGCCGTTTACACGTGAAGAAGAAACAAACACACTCACAAACTTTCGCCTTTGTAATATAAGTGTTAGGAAAAATTGATTTTCATAGATTATTCCCATGGGAATAATATATTTTCCCACAGTGAACTGGTGAACCCCCCCCCCCCCCCCCCTTACATTGATTAAGTCGACTTTCAAGCTAAGGCGTGACCAAAGGAAATAGGGATTAATTTTTATTCAAATTGATAAATAAAAGAAAATCTATATTTTTATTAAATAGTTTTTCTCATTCTCTCTCTCTCTCTCTCTAAATATGTATAAAATAAATAAGTTAAACAACTCGTGCTTTTCATTCATTCATAAGTAATTATAATGTTAAATTAAGTAATGTTAACATACGTTGTTTCTTAGGCTTTCACGCACATCACTCATTAAATAAAACTAGTTTTTTTTACGGGTTAATGCACGAAACTTTATTTATTTATTGACGTTTCAATCAAATTTTATTTAATTTTGTCGAGCTACCTTCGAAATACCATCAATAAATAAATAAAGTTTCGTGCATTAACCTGTAAAAAACTTAAAACTAGTTAATTCATAATTAATTATTATGTTTATTTAAGTAATGTTAAATTTATATTTTGTTTCTCTCGTCAGGGAAGAGATCCGAAAATGGCGTACAGCCTTCCTTATATCGTTAATATTCGGTGGCCCATGCATGATCGCGATGGCCTACTTCATGTGGGGAATGGCCCATGATCACTCCCACCATCATGCCTACAATGTGATGCCTGGACTAAGTCTTGAAAACTTGGTGATGTTTTTGCTAGCAACGCCGGTACAGGTGAGTTTTCGTAGGAATATAATGATAAATACAAATTCAAAATTGTTAGTTTATGTTTTTATTTTTTAAGCATTTAACTGCTAGATGTTTAAAACTAAAGAAAAGTGGATTTTTTTTCTAGTAAACTTTTCTTTAGATTTAAACATCTAGCAGTTAAATGCTTAAAAATAAATAAAAACATAACTATAATTGCTATTTCTTCTTTCAAATGTTTAATACTTGAAAAAGTATTCATTTGACATTGTGGGTTTTTATTTTATTTATTTATTTATTGCACAAAACAGAGTTACAGCAAGCTAAATGGTAAATGACACATAGAAAAACAATTGATAAAAAAAAATACTGAACTCCACTAGCATGTGCAAACAGCATGTTTATACAAGTACACAGCAACCATACATTAAAAATTAAAAATAATAATAATTACATTAACATAGAATTCATTAATAACAATTTTAATGAGATTAAGACATGCACAATTGATTAATCAAATTAGAAATATAAAATTAAATTAATTATAAATAAAGACATTATTAAATTAAATAAAATAAAAAACACGTGAATTTCATAGATACCTACAATGCGAAGAGATGGCGCTGCCTTGCAGTTTAAGGCTAGGAAAAATTCGACGCGGCGAATAGGGCCGTGGTAGCATAATGGTCAGTGCATTCGCCCGGATTGCGAAAGGTGCGGGTTCGAGTCCCATCCGCTGCCTGGTCCGCGTGGATTTTTTTCTAGTAAACTTTTCTTTAGATTAAAATTGTTAGTTATTTTTTAAGCATTTAACCGCTAGTTGCGACGATATTAAATATCCTAGATACACCACGAGCGCTCAAAATGTGTCCCAATCAAGAAGTGCTTGAACACGACTCAAGCACTTCTTGGTTCAAAAGTCAACATGCTGCAGAGCTCCGTGAAAAACATGCGAAACTTATAATGCGATTCAACTAAGAATAGGACCGACTGGGCACCATATTGTGATGTCATAGCTGTCATTTCAAACCAAATAGGTAGAGTGAGCAAAAAAAAAAAGGTTTCATTTAATAAAATTTACTAAGATTAAAAACGAGAAAAAGCATCAGATTATTTTAATAACATTTATAATTACAAAGATTGAGAAAAAAAAAACACCGATTTTTAATAATATTTATTTATTAACACTATGACAAGTGACGTTTGGTTGGCGATTTAGGTTATCAACCATTCATGGCCAAAGCTCAATAAGTGAAAAAAGATATCAACCAATATTAATTATCAATATTTGTTATTGCTTGTTTACAAATGTTTGGTTTTTATTCTTGAATAAGCGGAGTGCTAAAAAAGGGTTCCAAGATTTTTTTGCAAACCGTACTTTTCAAGCGACATTTGACATTTAGAGGTCATTGGCTTTCCTATTCTTATTTGAATCGCATTATATAGTACGTAAACTGAAGATTTTTCGACAGGTATGTCTAATGTTTGTTAATTTAACGCATTTGAAGCAAAATGTTGTTTTAATACTTACTATATATAATATGATTTAATAGAAAAAATATTGATATTCAAATGCATGGTCGGTTATATAGCCGTCTCTTTTCCTCGCGGTCCGTACCTGCTATATTGCTAACAGCGCATTCAGAAATAAACTCTATATTTTTCCGCATATAGCAATAAGTTAATAAATTTTACGAGCTTGCATTTCCAACTGTCATGCCTCTTTGACGCATGCGTTTTAATTAAGACCTTATATAGTATGCATTAAAGGTGACTTTCAATGTTTAAATGATGCCTTATATTGTTTTTGACTATGCGATCATCTTACGAAGCTCCGTGGATCGTCCAATGTACCGTTTGGGCAGGTTTCGGACACTATTTTGTTCGTGTTGTTGTATCAAGGGTATATAGTATCGTTGGCTAGTTGTTTAAATCTACAGATTTTTTTGTACTACAAAAATTCCACGTAGAATAGTTATCAAAATAGTTATTCAGTAAATTTGCTTAATACAAATACACAACTAATACAAAAAAGTGATTGGAGCACCCCTTTATTCATGTAAGCATGCACTGGAGGCCTACTTTAATAGGGATGATGACTATTTTTTTGAAGTTATACTTCTTTAGGCGCGTTATGAAAAAATGATGAGAGTGAAATTTTAAGATGCGCGCGCATCACTGTAAAACAAAATTTTAACAGCATGAAGTTGGTCGCTTTAGCGACCAACTTCATGCGTTACCTTTGTGTTTACCGCACATTAAGAAAATCTACCAACAAAATAGAAATAGAATCTCTATTAAGTGGGTGCTAACGACTGCATTGTGAAGGCCTATCAAAAGTATTTATTAATCTGGAACAACGGAACCAAAGCGCGATTCAGGAGACTACAGCGCCATCTCTTGACCGTTGGTGTAGTAGAACCAAAAACCACATCTTTATTTTTTGTAATAAAGTAACAGTTATAGGTATTCATATTTATAATATTTATCCACATGTTTCTAGTTTGTATATTCGGAATACGTGTTTGAGTTTCATACAATTGCAAATCACATATGTTCTAATAAATTATATTCAGTAGCGATTTTAATTGAATATTTTGATTATTTATTTATTTTTTCAAATTAAAACTGAACTTTATTGACTGTCTCCTTTTCCAGACTTTTTATTAATTTATTGTAATTAATTATGTATTTGCATGCAATTAAAAACTAATTTTAAACGATGCCAAAGAAGGATAACTTCTCACGCGCCTACATAAGTACACGCACCCATTTTTTTTTTCTTAGTTTATCAGGTAGATTATCAAAAAGTATTGGGACACGTATTTTTTCTTTTTTCACATAATATAAACAGTGCAGAGATATATTGATTTGAAAAGTCGCATGACGTCACGTTTGAGTGCACTTATAAGTGAAAATTCACTCAAAAGTGACGTCACGAGCCCCAAACTTTGATGCGCTATAACTTTGTCATTTTTTGGTTGATTGCATAAAAGAAAAAATAAGTATCCATTATTTTTTGATCATCTAACTGACGGACTAAATAGAATTTCGTTTACTGTACCCCGTCATCATCCCTATTGAACGAAAAATTAAATTTCGATCAAATCTTTGCACTTTTCTTACTATGTGTCTGGTTCGTTTTTAATTATAATAATATTCGTCGTCGAAATATAGATGGAGGTGTAGATTTTCTCAGCCTACTCAAAGAAAGCTTCAATAAGATAGTTCATCGTTCAAATTAAGCATAACCTACTACTCCAAACTGAGCTGCCCGACTGGCGAAACACCTCCACCTGGCAGAAGTCTGCAGCCAAATATCACCTCGTGATGTGTTCCTGCAGGTGAGCCTGGTTACCGGAGCTCTTCAAAGGAGTCGCTGAGCCGTCAACAGAGAGACCCGTGAAATCTCAAATCGCTTTTGAGTGGAACAAGCGTGGCGTATTGGCACGGCGGTCAGGGAGACCCGGTGAAACGGCTGACCGCTGGCCGCCCGCAAGCTGAACGGTGGGCCAATCGCCTAACCAGATTGCTTTGGAAAACGCTATCGCTTACGATTTCATTTTGTTATTTCTAACCGCCGAAGGTTTTCAAATACCTCACGCTCATTTTCTTTAACATTGTTATTACCAATGCAAAAGAAAAAAAAAGAGCGCGAGGCATTTGAAAACCTCTGGCGGCTAGAAATAACAAAATGAAATCGTAAGCGATAGCGTTTTCCAAAGCAATCCAGTTAGGCGATTGGCCCCCAGGTTCCCGAACCCAGGGATCACGTAATCTCCGCCTGCCGCCCTGGGAGGCTGAACCGCCAGTTTGTGTAAAGTCCCTGAAGCAGTAGTCGTGCCGGAGGAGGAGACCGGAGTGTAACAGGTGTGGACCGGGGGCCCTTCCGCCCGCCGTGCCAGCTTTCCACATAACTTGTCTTACTCTCTTGCGAATAGACACGAATATCTTTCATGCTGCGATTTTCATAAAATCAACCCACGCAATATGATTGAAACAGCCTCAAACGAAAAAACCCGAGTAGCAATGCTCGAATTCATTAAGGGAGTATTTGGGACACTAAAGCAGTTCAATGGAACATAGCCATACTTGGCTGGGTAGAAATATATAAAATAACATATTTTATTAGTAATTAATATTGTATATATATATATATATATAAACATTATACATATGAACATATATATAATATCATATAATATCAAATATATAATCAAAAATACATACCCACAGTGAAACACGAATTAAACATCATGAACACCAAAGGTTTTGCTGTATCAAATCGCAGCACACCAAACCTGCAACCTGAAAAACAAACACATAATTATAATATATACTCTCTTGCGAAGTAACACACAATTGTCTCTTATGTTGATGGCTTGGTGATTTCTTTCTACCTTTCACACTTTTCTTATAATTATGGCCAGAACAAAAAGGAATAAGTGATACTCAGCGGCATCCTCTTCCACATTTAAAGTGGACTTTTGCAACATCAGAGGACTTCGTTCCAACATCAACGCGGTCCATCAGCATCTGGAATCTGCGCAGCCGGCCCTGTTATTCCTTACGGAGACACAAATATCCAGCCCGACCGACACATCCTACTTACACTACCCCGGTTACAAATTCGAGCATAATTTTGTACGGCGTGCCGGAGTTTGTATGTATGTCCGGGATGATATTTGTTGTCGCCGCCTTAATGGCCTTGAAGACGGAGACCTATCAATCTTATTGGTACGTGTGGATTACGACGGCCACATCCGAATCTACGCTTGCCTCTACAGGTCTCACAGCGGTGACATGGACGCAACACGCATGTTTGACCACCTGCGAATGGCGACAGACAGGGCTCTTGAGCAGTACCCATCTGCGGAGTTAGTGATTTTGGGCGATTTCAATGCCCATCACAGTGACTGGCTTAGCTCTAAGACCATTGACTTTGCGGGTAGATCTGCTCATAATTTTGCTTTGGCCTATGGACTCTCTCAGCTGGTACATTCTCCTACGAGAATACCGGACATAGAGGACCATACGAGCTCTTTACTGGATCTACTGCTGACTGCACATCCGGATGGCTATTGTATTTCAGTGGATGCGCCTCGCGGCTCATCAGACCACTGTCTTATCCGGACCCAAGTGCCATGTACGCAGAAAACATCACTCCGTGAAACTGGACGGCGACGCGTCTGGCACTATAAATCAGCAGACTGGGATGGACTGCGTGAATTTTACGCATCGTACCCATGGAGACAGCTCTGTTTCACATCAGATGATCCTGAACCCTGCGCTGCTGCCGTGACTGAGGCGATTCTAGCTGGTATGGAATGTTTCATACCAAACCCACTAGTTGCGCAGGGGACAAAGAAACGGCCGTGGTTTAATCTGTCTTGCAGAGAAACTTTTCTGGCTAAGCAGACTGCGTATGAGGCTTGGACTACGGCTCGTACCAACAAGGATAACAACATCTCTGATGTAAAACGGAAATTTAATGCTGTTTCAAGATCCAGTAAACGAGCGATTGCCAAAGCAAAATTCGATTTTGTTAGCGGAGTTGGCGAGCGGCTCGCTAAACATCCTGCTGGAAGTCGAGCATTCTGGTCGCTTGCAAAAGCTGCAGAAGGGAATTTTTGTCAGTCGTCATTACCACCCCTCCGTGGGTCTGATGGTAACCTGGTCCACAGCGCAAAGGAGAAAGCCGATCTATTGGGTAATCTCTTTGCCTCAAACTCGACAATGAATGACGGAGGCGCCGGACCACCTAATATCCCGTGGTGTGGTTATTCCATGCCGGATATTACTATTACTCAACGTGGAGTCCGGCGGGAATTACTCTCTCTTGATATTCAGAAGTCGAGTGGACCAGACGGCATTCCTGCGGTGGTGCTCAAGTGGTGTGCCCCTGAGTTGTGTCCAGTATTAACGCGCCTTTTCGCGATTTCTTACGCCTCTAGGAATGTTCCAAGTGGAAGATGGCCCATGTGCACCCTGTGCCAAAAAAGGGCGACAGATCCGACCCGTCGAATTACAGGCCAATAGCTATCACCTCCCTTCTCTCCAAGGTTATGGAGCGAGTGATTAATTCACAGCTCCTTAGATACCTAGAAGAGCACGAACTTATCAGTGACCGCCAATACGGTTTCCGTCACGGTCGCTCAACTGGTGACCTTCTAGTGTATCTAACGCACCGATGGGCTGAAGCCGTTGAGAGTCAAGGTGAGGCACTGGCTGTAAGTCTTGATATAGCGAAGGCGTTCGACCGGGTCTGGCATCGTAGTCTTCTATCGAAGTTACCTTCATACGGACTGCCCGAGGGTCTATGCGAATGGGTTGCTAGCTTTCTTTCCAACCGACGCATAAAAGCCGTAGTTGATGGTAGTTGCTCCAATAGCATGGAAATTAATGCTGGCGTTCCGCAAGGCTCGGTGTTGTCCCCTACTTTATTTCTACTGCATATCAATGATATGCTGTCAATTGACGGTGTTCATTGTTATGCAGATGACAGTACTGGGGACACCTGCTATTCCGGCCGCGCTAATATCCCTCGTTCCAAGGTGGAAGAAAGTCGTGAAATACTTGTGTCTGAAGTCGAGAGCATTTTGACCAGAGTCTCCGAGTGGGGTGATAGTAACCTGGTTCAATTTAACCCTTTGAAGACACAAGTTTGCGCGTTCACCGCTAAGAAAACCCCTTTTACTGTAGTCCCTAAATTTCTGAACACATCTCTTAATATTACTAAAAGCATTGGGATCCTTGGTGTCGACATCTCCAGTGACGTGCAGTTCCGAACTCACTTAGAGGATAAGGTCAAGTTGGCATCTAAAAAGCTCGGCGTCCTCAACAGGGGAAATCAGTACTTCACTGCACAGTATAGACTGTTGCTATATAAGTCACAGATTCGTCCTCACATGGAGTACTGCTGCCACCTTTGGGCCGGAGCACCCGAATACCAACTTGCACCTTTTGATTCGGTTCAAAGACGCGCTGCGAGGATTATTGATGATCCCAAGCTTACAAGCGGTATAAAACCCTTAAGTCTTAGAAGAGACTTTGCATCTTTATGTGTGTTCTACCGCTTGTACAATGGGATGTGTTCAGAAGAATTGTTTGACATGATGCCGACGGCGTCATTTTACCATCGCACCGCTCGTCATCGGCAGGGAGTTCATCCACATACATTGGAACCACACTGGTCGCGTACAGTGCGCTTTCAGAGGCACTTTCTCCCACGCACGCTGAGGTTGTGGAACGAGCTTCCTGTATCGGTGTTCCCTAGAGACTACAGTATGGGGTTCTTCAAGAAAGGTATAAAAAGGTTTTTGCAGGGTCGGCAACGCGGAAGTAACACCTCTGGTGTTGCAAATGTCTATAGGCTGCGGTAACCGCTTACCATCAGGCGGGCCGCATGCTTGTTTGCTACCTTAGTGGTATAAAAAAAAAACCTTGAATTAAAAGAAAATATAACTAGATAAAAATCCACGCGGACCAGGCAGCAGACGGGACTCGAACCCGCACCCTTCGCAATCCGGGCGAATGCACCTGACCAATTATGCTACTGCGGCTCTGTAGCCGTGTCGAAATCTTTCTAGCCTTTTTTAAGCTGCAAGGCAGCGCCATTTCTTCGCATTGTAGGTAACCCACAATTTTATTGGTGTGTGTTGATAATAGTTATTTAATATTATTTATGTACTAATAATGTATTCATTTACGATTGTTTGATAGTTCGTCGGTGGTTGGCATTTCTACAAGCAGGCTTACAAAGCTCTACGTCATGGCACTTCCAACATGGATGTACTTATATCACTAACAACTACTATAAGGTGAGAACGACATAGTATACTTTTATTTATTTATTTAATAATCACTTACATCTATGTATAACCTACTACAATAGAGCAGTTACAATACAACCAATTATTATACAAAACTAAAAAATAAAAAAACACGAAAACGAAATCAGTCATAAAATAAACATTTTTATGGTAGTATACGGGTGATTCTCAGTTAAGAGGTAATCGGTTGTATGGAAAGAGGTGGCACAGCAAAAAGTGTCGATATTTATATAACTATATCACTACTTTTATCAAGACAGATGATTTTAATATGATTTTAAGATGATCAGTAATTTTTTTAATTTATTCTCGTTTTACGAGACACCAGAGTAAATGCTGAGTACAGGGTAGAGACAAGATGAACTTTATTGCAATACGCTTAGAGCGCATATTAGGAAGCACTGTAAAGTATACAATAAGCGGTCCGTGTGAATTCATTCAATGTGCATTGAAACAAGTCAATGTGAAGAGACAGCGTGTTGAGCGCGCGCAGATTTCGCTGTATGGTATAAGTATTTCATTATTAGATTTTCTTCTAGAAAAAGGGAGGTTTATCTATAACTACCTGTGCCCCGCGGTGTTACCCGCGCTTTATTAGGGATATTCTCCCGCAATAAATTGCTTTTTAAACTAAAACTCAATGTCAGCTCTCATTAACGACTTTTTTATGCTTAAATTTGTGGACATTGTTGTTGGTGTCACAATCAGCAATGTATTTTAAGTATCTATAAGAAACAGCTATTGAAAGACTGTTTTTTGTCCTAAATAAATGAAAAAAAAAACGAAAAATAATTATAAATGAAACGTAGCCTATGTGTTAATCCAGGGTGTCAGCTAACTCCATACCAAATTTTATTAAAATCACTCCAGCCGTTTAGACACGCAGAAGTAACAAACATACACACTCACACACTCACAAACTTTGGCCTTTATAATATTAGTGCAATAATATTAGTGCAATTATTATGAAGATGATATGATTTTGTATTGACATGGACACCGTAACAATATAATACTTTGTAAATATTGTTACATAATTATTTAAAAACGCTGTGAAGTTTTTTTTGTCAGTTTTTCTTTACAGCAGGAAAAAAAGTTCAAACTTGAATTTTCAAAAATATTTTTTATTATATGATGTAACTAAAAATTTACGGTTCTCGCAATTTTTCCTTTATCGAATTCGAATAGTTTGCAAACCGAAATTTCAATGTCAAATTTTGAATGGAAACTTGAACAGCAGCGGCACAAAGTACATAACGAGAACTAAAAATTAGTACACATTTTACAATGACGTTTCGAACTCGCTAACGTTACGAATTCGATTTTGGTACGTGCTAAGGGTACTGTATTATAAAACTTTACTTCGTACCAAATTTCAAGATTCTAAGTTCACGGGAACAGTACCCTGTAGGTTTTGATTCGCGTGCGAGTTTCGGAAATTTGCGGATTTTTGCGGCATAAACGGCTGTATTTTTTGATTGCTTTGGCTTAGAAGTTTGATTTTTTCATAGCTTCTAAGGACAGTAGACATGAGTATTAGATATGAATTTCAGTTTGATACCTCCACGCGTTCCTAAGAAAAATGGTCTTGACAAACGGACGGACGGACGGACAACAAAGTGATCCTATAAGGGTACCGTTTTTTCCTTTTGAGGTACGGAACCCTAATACCGCAAAATGATGTATTAATGATCGTTTTTTCTGTTATATCTTTAGTTACGCGTATTCACTGGCTGTCGTTATAGCAGCAATGGCGATGAAACAAGACGCCAGCCCCATGACTTTCTTCGACACTCCACCCATGCTGTTGGTCTTCGTATCGTTAGGGAGGTGGCTGGAGCATATAGCCAAGGTGAGTCACTATCAGCCTATTAATGTCACCAGTGGTGGGGCACAAGCCTTCCCTATGGACGATATAGGGAGATTGAGCCGTGACCCACCAGGCCAGGCAGAGCGGATTGGTGGGTGCTAATGACTGCAGATGCAGCCGGGACCAACGTGCCCCCCGAAGCACGGAGGAGCGAGAGATAGCGGTCACCCATCCAATGACCGACCACTGTGAAAGTTGCTTAACTTCAACGATCGCAGCCGAACGCGCTCGCCCGAACACACTTTTCGTAACGCGTATCGCATTCGCCAGCTTATCCCCCAGGTCAAGTGTGCGTAAAGAAGTTTGCTTATATCCCCCACTCAACTCCCGTTCGCCTCGCCCGAACACACTTTTCGTAACGCGTAACACATTCGGCAGCTTACCCCCAAAGTCAATCGTCCTTTAAGAAGTTTGCTTTATTTTTTCTGGTATTTATTTCAATTTCCCCAATTCAGGGCAAAACATCCGAAGCTCTTTCCAAGCTGCTATCATTGAAAGCTACTGAAGCAATATTGGTGATGATGAACGAAGATGGCCACGTGACCAGCGAGAAGAGCATACCCGTAGACTTGGTGCAGAGGGGGGATGTGCTTAAGGTGAGTGGCTCTCATTATAAAGTTGATAAATAATAATAACATAATATTCCCAACACTCACACCAATAGGCTAATTGACAGTACAAAAAATAATGTACTACCACTAGGGTATTCGACAGTATTAAAAATAAAGTGCCAGTTGTTAGCATCTGTGTTTAGAATGAATATTGGCAGGGGTTTTTACTATTTAGACAAAAAAAAATATTCATAATTTCACTAAAAACCCACGAAAAAGATAATAGTTTTCTTGTCTATTGTCACGTGACTCAAAACGTTTGGGATTGGCGGAGCCTAAAATGACGTCACACGCAAGTAAACTTCCGGTTAAAGTGACATTACATTGTATCGTTTGACGTTTTAATAACAGTCGTGTGACGGCACACACTAGAACGTTTTCGCGGCAACTTGGAAATGGAGTTTTTGATTTGGTTATTTTTACTGAAATACACAATAGAATGATGAATATCCACCTTTTACGAACTCCACAAACATAAGTTAATAACGTGAGATCGTTTTCTAAAACATGTCAAATATCCTATTGTTGGCATGTGTGTTTAATATGAATATCAGCAGCGATTTTACTATTGAAATACTATTTTACTGAAAGAACAAATAATTAATCACTTTTCTATAAAATCATTATATAGAAATGATTTTTTACTCCATCGTCACGTGACAGAAAACGCCTGGGATTGGCTATGCCTAAATGACGTCACACGCTAGTATATTTCCGGCTAAAGAGACATTACATTGTGACGTCGACTGTCATATTTCGTCGATTTTGTTATAGTCTATTCACATTGGCGTGAGACAAAATGTAAACAAACGATAAAAAGGATACTTTTTAAGGTCACGTTTGACAAAAGTAAAGATTAAATACCATTTACATAGGAAATGCAGCGAAACATTAAGTTAATTATTTTAAAAGCTAGTACATACATATAAATAAGAAAATAAAATATTTAACGTACATACTCATTATAAATTCGTATTTATTTTTATTTTGCTTATAAAAGTATTTTAACAACTCAAGTTGACATGGAAAAAGACCTAAAAACACAATCATTACCGAACTTAAGTCGTATTATAATACGACAAAATTTAAGAGTAGACATGATATAAGTATTTTACGTTGAAGTGTTGTGTTTTGTAATCGGTTGGTTTACGTTAGCCATATTTACTCTCCTGCTCAAGCTGTTGACGCGTGTTATTTCCTTGTTATATTTTAAAGTTGTTAATAAACTATAGGTATCATAAATTATGTCCAACAGTGGGCGTCGTACGGCTGATATGATGATCATAAATTATAAGTAATCATTGTAAAAGTTTTAAAAACTCAGATTCTTTGTTTACATTTTGTCTCACGCCAAAGTGAATAGACTATAGATATTTTCTCTAAAATTTACCCATGGAATAGCGAAAAAGTCTCTCATCGATTTGACTTGACAACATTAGGTACCTAATTGTTATATTTTCCCATCAGGTCGTACCCGGCGCCAAAATACCAGTGGATGGAAAAGTGATATCTGGACAGAGCACTTGCGATGAATCTCTAATCACAGGCGAATCGATGCCTGTGGCCAAGAATATAGGTAAGTTTTGATAATGGAAATGAGATATAGATTAATGGAAAGTGACTTTATGAGTTATCTCATATTGAAGTCATTTTTCAATTTGGCGACTCTGTATATATAACACAGGGAGAAAAAAACAGCCCTTGCTGAGTTTCTTGCCGGTTCTTCTCAGTACAAGGTCTCCCGCCGTAGATTTGCGAACCGATGGCGTAGCTTTTCGATATTCACAAGTCCTTGTAACGACCTAGACTAAATAAACGATTTTGAATTTGAATTTGAAATAGGTTTCATTGAAAATATAAATATTTTTACACTATAAATGAATACTTTGCAATAAAATAATATTAATGAGGCGATCTTTAAAATACAAACCTAGATTTTTATTATCATGTTTATTGATATATTATTTTATTTTTATTGACATATTTATTAATTATATTTATTGACTAATTTAATTTTATAAATATATTTCCATAATTATAATTACAAAATTAAAGCACTAAATAAAACTACTACTGTAAATGAGAGCAATTGAGTAAGTTATATTATAAAATTAATGAAATCAGATGACATTTATGCATGACTAGTGGCCCGCCCTCGCTTCGCTACGGTTTAGAGCTGAAGTGTAGACTACAGTTTTTGTTCTCAGGCTTGTATTATACACAATGACATTCATCTATGATTCTTCTTATAAGTGCATGCAAAGTCTCAGCCCGATCGGTTTAAAATTGACAAAGTTTCATACAAACTTTCATTTCCTATTTTATCCCCTTGGGGGTAGAATTGATCAAAATCCTTTCTTAGCGGATGCCTACGTCATAACATCTACCTGCATGCCAAATTTCAGCCCGATCCGTCCAGTGGTTTGGGTTGTGCGTTGATAGATCACTATGTCAGTCAGTCACCTTTAAGTTTTATATATATAGATTTGAGAAATAAAGTTGTTTAATACAAATTAGGTTCTTCATATAGATAATTGTTTATTAATTAAATTCTCTTGTAATTTTTATCTATAAGACACTACTATATTGCGATACCCTGACAGGGTTCATGTTACGTACTTTATGCATTTTGTAACTTGTAACCATCTGTGTAACCACATCAGTGAATTGTCTAATTTCAAAATAGCATCTAACGAATTAAAAATGATATGAAAGCATTACACTAACAAAGGCCGCTAAAACATGAACCAAAAACTCATACAACTAAACTTCAATAGTAACACGACACGCACACAGTCAAAGACAAATTCTTTGACAAATCCAATATCTGCATATGAATTCGGCTATCCATTCACTGGGTAAGATACTGTTTAATGGAAATCCCAACCAATCCCATGATGGGCGTGCCGATCGCAGTTTGGTCGCCCCGCCCATTTGATCGCAGTTTGCGTGGAACCAGTTTTAAGCGCAATTCCAATCCATACTATTTCTTATTTTTTTTGGTAGAATCTGTGTTTTGCGAGCCAATTTCTTTTGTTTATAATGACATGTTAGTACGGTACGAAAGTGTCTCTTCACTAATGGTCTTAACTTTGCCATGATCCTTTCCGTCCACAGACTCTCTCTTTAATTCTTTAGAGATCACATTACTGGCATGTTATCATATACTTATATCGACCTATCCATAGGCTAAATCTACTTCTGCATAATCTCTACTTTATATCTATCTCTATCTCTACGTTTTGGAAAAAAAATCACATGTACCTTTATTCAATTGCTATCTTCGAAGTAATATAAGTTTTAGAATAAATGTTTTTACCAGTAAAATATATGCGTCCGTTTCGCCTAAAAGTAATTTGATAACATTTTCATATGTAACTTTATTCTATGCATAGGTCGATAGGTTTGGACAACATTTCTGAATCATGAGCCAAATTTGTCTTTTCTTTTGCTCACAGACTCTTTAGTGATAGGCGGCAGTATTAACCAACACGGAGCTTTGTTGATGCGAGCAACTCACACTGGCGAGGCGAGCACTTTGGCCCAAATAGTGCGCCTTGTGGAAGACGCGCAGAGCAGCAAGGCGCCCGTGCAGCGGCTGGCCGACACTATAGCCGGGTGAGAATATATGTAGCGTAAGGATAACTGTTCAGATGTCATGCGAGCCTGGTACTTAGCGCCCGTAATGTATATGAAAAAGCGGTTTTTTGAAGTTATACTTCTTTAGGCGCGTTATGAAAAAATGATGAGAGTGAAATTTTAAGATGCGCGCGCATCACTGTAACACAAAATTTTAACAGCATGAAGTTGGTCGCTTTAGTGACCAACTTCATGCGTTACTTTTGTGTTTACCGCACATTAAGAAAATCTACCAACAAAATAGAAATAGAATCTCTATTTAGTGGGTGCTAACGACTGCATTGTGAAGGCCTATCAAAAGTATTTATTAATCTGGAACAACGGAACCAAAGCGCGATTCAGGAGACTACAGCGCCATCTCTTGACCATTGGTGTAGTAGAACCAAAAACCACATCTTTATTTTTTGTAATAAAAGTTATAGGTATTCATATTTATAATATCAAAAGTATTTATTAATCTGGAACAACGGAACCAAAACGCGATTCAGGAGACTACAGCGCCATCTCTTGACCATTGGTGTAGTTGAACCAAAAACCACATCTTTATTTTTTGTAATAAAGTAACAGTTATAGGTATTCATATTTATAATATTTATCCACATGTTTCTAGTTTGTATATTCGGAATACGTGTTTGAGTTTCATACAAGTGCAAATCACATCTGTTCTAATAAATTATATTCAGTAGCGAATTTAATTGAATATTTTGATTATTTATTTATTTTTTCAAATTAAAACTGAACTTTATTGACTGTGTCCTTTTCCAGACTTTGTATTAATTTATTGTAATTAATTATTTGCATGCAAAATAAAAACTAATTTTAAACGATGCCAAAGAAGGATAACTTCTCACGCGCCTACATAAGTACACGCACCCATTTTTTTTACTTTAACACAAATATTTATTGCCTTAAATAACTGTTTACATGTTATGCGAGCCTGGTACTTGGAGCTCGAATCCTATATAAGATACATTGAAAAATCACAAATAATAATAGCCATACTTACTACCCATAGACTAGAATAATTATATATTGAGCGTTCCCTCTCTAATTTGCTTTAAAAACTGGGTAGAAATGTGTGAGAGACCACTTACTTGTTAGCTGTGAACCGGAATTTTAGATAAGAGCCGCAGTTAATTGTAAGACCTCGTAGGGAGTCTATATGAGTGTATTAGTGATAAGGACTAGTAGTAGCACTTTGGCCCAAATAGTGCGCCTTGTGGAAGACGCGCAGAGCAGCAAGGCGCCCGTGCAGCGGCTGGCCGACACTATAGCCGGGTGAGAATATATGTAGCATAAGGATAACTGTTCAGGTGTCATGCGAGCCTGGTAGTTAGCTCCCGAAATCTTTACTAAAAAAGCCAAAAATTAAAAGCTTTTCACCTTAAAACTAAGTACAACTCTGTTCAGGTGTTATGTGAACCTTGGAGCTCGAATCCTTTATCAATGGAACTCCATTGAAAAATGACAAATATAGCCATACCATAGACTAGACTAGAATAATGATATATTGAGCGTTCCCTCTCTTATTTGCTTGGGTAGAAAAGTGTAAGAGACTACTTACTTGTTAGCTTAGCTTAGGCTCTAAATCGTAATTGTAGAACAGAACCACAGTTAAGCAAGACCTCGTGGGAGTCTATATGAGTCTATAAGCGATAGGACTATTAGTATGGCCTCTCGACTCACACCTGCGAGGAGAGTATTTTGGCCCAAATAGTACGCGCAGAGCAGCAAGGCGCCCGTGTAGCAGCTGGTCGACACTATAATATAATCAGAAATGTTCAGGTATTATGCGAGCCTAGTACTTAGATCTCGAAATATATATATATATATATATATATATATTTATATATTTATATATATAATTCTTCTGTGAGTGTGTATGTCACTGAACTTCTCTTAAACGACTGGACCGATTTTGATGAAATTTTTTGTGTGTGTTCAAGGGGATCTGAGAATGGTTTAGATTCACAATTTTGTCCGCTGGACAACCCCTATTTTTTTAAGGCGGTACGAAGTTCGCTGGGTCAGCTAGTATATATATAAAAAGACAAAATTAAATGCAGATTTTTACTTTAAAACTAAAGATAAGTTCAGATTTTATGCGAGCCTGAAGACACTCAACTTTATAGGACGATACTCCCTATACTATAGCCGTTCATAGATAACTGTTCAGATGTCATGCGAGCCTGGTACTAAGCGCCCGAAATCTTTACTAAAAGCCAAAAATTAAAAGCAGATTTTCACTTTAAAACTAAGTACAACTGTTCAGGTGTTATGCGAGCCTAGTACATGACGTTCGAAATCTATATGGAAAAAGCCAAAATTAACAAAAACAAAATTTTACATGAAAATAATCAAAAATATAAAGCAGATTTTTACCTATAATCCTATCTATTTAAATCACCGTTTTTATCTACTAGGTATATGTCCATTGCAGAAAAAAATTAAGGTCAAAGCCGATTTATTTTACACTAGGATCCACCCACGACCACGACTTCTACTGCGTTTAGTTGAGTTTTTTGAGAACGCGAAAGAAATATTTTATTTTGTTTGAATTGACATTTTATAGTAAGTAAGAGTTAGTAGATAGTGATTGAGACGCAAACTTAACATTTTATAATAAGCAAGACATTATAAGAGAGTGATTTAGTCACAAAATGAACATTTTATAATAAGAAAGATATTAGTAGGATGATAGTTTTCAAATACGTTGTCTTTGTTCACAGATACTTTGTACCACTGGTGATGTTTCTTTCACTCTTGACGCTTATATGTTGGATCATAAGCGGGGCCATCAACATACAGACTATCAAAAACATCACACCGGTGAGTCGATATTGTTACAATTGTTTTAGAAGTAAAACTTCTTTGCCCGCGATGAGGGTAACTCTTCAAGGCCGCGTCACGATTTGAGCGTCACATTTTAGTGCGACGATTTTAAATTTTAAAAAACGGATAGATGTAAACTAGAGAGAAAGAGAAAAAGCACGCTATATACTTTATTTTAAAGTTCCTCTTTGTACAACAGTTGCATAAATAACTATAATTACACGCCATCTTAAGCCAAGCTAGACTGACGTGATCAAAAATACGAGATAATAAATTTTTGGTCACCACTCGTTCAAAACTTTGTACGTATATATCAAGGCCGTTACACCAAACCATACCGCGATGCAGATGTATGAACAGCGCCATCTGTTAAAAAACTTACACACCATGTACGTATATGTACTTGAAATATCAGATTACTTTTCTTCATTTTTATGTTTTTTTCCATTATGTAATGTTAATGTATATTTTTATAACTATTATTATGAAAATCGGTGTACAGTAGCTACCTATACTGTACACCGATTTTCAAGGTGTCGCCTGCTCAGATATTCCGGGTTCGAATCCCGGGGGGACTAGGGTTACTACTTAAAATTTTGAAAAGTCCTGACAAAAAGCCGGACATTTCGATAAAAGCCCGGACATTTTAGTAGAGGGGGGTCTCGTTGTTGGTTGTTAAATATGATTTATATTTTGTTTTATATTAATGAGTACTTAATAAAGATTATTGACTTATTTGATATAACTTAATAAGTAGCTTTAATCATATTCCATCTAATTTAAAAAATCCGGACAAAGTCCGGACATGTCCGGACAAATCCGGACGGATGGTAACCCTAGGTGGGACAGATGTTTGTACATTACCGGCACTTCATTTGGCTATTCGCGTTTGCTTTTTGTTAAATTGTCATCAGTCTGTCCCTTTCATTCCTTATAAAACACGAGAAAGACAGACTCCTGTCAAATATTTATTATTATTAATTCATGAATATAATACGCAGGATGCGTACTTGGGCTCGTTCTCGAACTGGGAGCTGATAGTACAGACGGGGTTCCACTTTGCGCTGTCAGTGCTGGCCATCGCTTGCCCGTGTGCCCTGGGTTTGGCCACGCCCACCGCTGTCATGGTGGCCACGGGTGTGGGGGCCGAGAGGGGGCTGCTGGTCAAAGGGGCCGAACCTTTGGAGAACGCTCATAAGGTAAGCTCCTGCGAGATTATGAAATCCTGGTACTTTTGACATACAAAATATGAATCTATTAATGTCACCTCCTGCAAGACTATATCTTCCTGGTATTACCATCATCATCATATCAGCCTATTAATGTCGCCTTCTAGGCTATGCCATCCTGGTACTGACTCTATACATATACATAAGTCACCTCCTGATAGACTATGTCGTGCTAGTAATTTCGCCATTATTATAGCCTATTAATGTCACCTCCTGCAAAACATGTTTTCCTGGTTTATCAGCCTATAAAATGTCATCTCCTAGGCATGGCTGGCTGGTACTACCTCTATACAGAGTTAGTACTTATGTATATATATATCACTTCCTGATAGGCTGTCGTCCTGGTACTTCGCCATTATTATAGCCTATTAATGTCACCTGCTGCAAGACTATCACCCGGTTTCTGAAACGCATGTCATCGAAAAAATTACGTAACAAGTTGTTAATCTCTATTTAAATGCACTTTGGGTTTCTCAATGAGCCAAGTGACAGTTTGTCAATGATTTGTTGTTGCAAATGTCAAATCTCGAATTAATGGCCGATTGCCGTAGTTTTTGGTTTCCGGAAAGCTTTTTTGTATGTTAACTGCATGTTAACGTTTTGTTGTGTTTTAATAAGTAATTGGTGAAAATTGATCAATTAACAGACTGTCAAAAGAAATTTTACTCATATTTTGGTCAGAGGATTGTTGTAGTGGTAGTAAAAAAAGTTGTCAGATTTATCTGTTGACGATATATCCCTATCTAGTGACGAGGAAGATCTGGCACCAACTCGCCAGTTCCGGAAACGAATAAATCCTGTAATTCATTACAATGATGAAGAATTTAAGGATCGCTACAGGATTTCAAAATCTGTTTTCCATCAACTAATGGGAAAACTGACACACCTGGAACTTAAAACGAACAATTATTGTACACTAAAGCCTTCCTAGAATTATGGCTAACCCAACGTAAAAAGAATATTTCAATTCAGTTCAGCAGTTCCTGATGTTAACGCGTTCAAACAAACAAACAAACATCTTTATATTGTAGTTTATATCAGATTTACACTATAATTATTTTACTTTTTATTGGCTTTAGAAGTAAATTCCAATTCTTTAATTTTTATTTCTAAATTCTTCAATTTTTTTCCAAGTCACGTTTTTTTTCCACCGTCACTGCATTGGTAGACTTATTTTCTATTATTGCTTTGTACCTACATTGAAATATATATTATCAATATATTTACAAATTTTAAATACCAAAAGCAGATCGGTTTCTTTGTATAGATTAGAAAGCTTGATTTGAACAACTGATTTGTACCTATTAGGTACTTACTTATCCACTATTGTTAAAAGCTCCCTCTTTTCTCGCTCCGTATAGTTTTTTCGTGACATATTATGTAAAAACTTTACAAATGAAAATAAATTTCAACGTTTTCGGTACACACAACCGCTTCTATTTTTCTGACTTCTAAATAAAAGTCACTTATAAGTTGTCAAAAGATAGAGACAAAGCTATGCGTTAGACAGAAACAGAACATGAATGATCGAATGAAAGTGACTGGTTTTAGCTAGGGTGGCCAGACTAATAAATAAATCCTGCCTTAACAGTAGATTCGTTAATTTTTCGGTAAGTATCTTTTCAGAAACCCACAGTTGCTCAACAAATAGTTAATTATGACAGTCTGTCAACTAATTCAATATTTGACATGCGTTTCAGAAACCGGATGTATGTCTTCCTGGTACTAAACTCATCATGACATCATTCTATTAATGTCACCTCCTGCTAGACTTTCTTCCTGGTACTAACTCATCATGATATCATTTAATGTCACCTCCTGCAAGACTATGTCTTCCTGGTACTAAACTCATTATCATTCTATTAATGTCACCTCCTGCTAAACTTTGTCACCCTGGTATTAACGCCATTCATTATCCATCATGCCACAAACACAATAACGCAATGTCCTTGTTGACCAACACTGCGGGTGGTTTGCTGCGTGTATTGGCGTATATATTTGCCATATATTGTCTGTTGTATAACGCAGGTGAAGACAGTGATATTCGACAAGACGGGCACAATAACGCAAGGGCGAGCTGCAGTGGCTCAGGTGTCCTTGTTGACCAATACTGCGGGTAGTTTGCCGCGCGTATTGGCGTATATATTGGCCGCAGAGCTCAGTTCCGAACACCCGTTGGCTGCTGGTGAGTGAAACACACAAACACACACACAGATACAGATGAATATATCATCATTATTTACCGTCACACTTCATCGTACAAACATTTGTCGCCACAGGATTCAGACTTGGACCCTGGGACTTCTTTGTAGACGATACCTATTAAACAGGGGTCCTGTACATATACCACTCCATGACGAAGGACGTCAAACACGTACAGTAATGAGCTTAGGAACCTGCTAAAGATTATATCGGACAGCAAATATACGATATAAATAACTAGTTTTCATAAGATTCTACAGAAGAAAAAAATGTCGGGTTGCACTCCGCGAGTGCCGGCAGAAGTGAAAACTTAAATATTAACGTTGTGCATTTTTGATATTTTGGAATGGTTAGGGAATAATTTTGCACGATTTGATTTAATTATCAGTATAAAAGTACTATCATGTATATGGTAGAATACAATATTTATTTATTGCACTATCGTACACAAATATGACAATTTATATTACATTAAAAAAAGTTTATCTCTCAGAAAAATCAACTTACATGAATCACGTTTAAGCGCACTTAGCGACATCTATTGTAAAGAAATCAACTTACATGAATCACATTCAAGCGCACCTAGCGACATCTATTGTAAAAAAATGCATTTTCTTCGCAATAAAGCTGCCACGTGGACGTCCTAGATAGAGACTTATTATTAAATAAAATATTACTATGTTTCGTCCAATATAGAAAAAGTCGCAGAAACTACCATCGAAAGTTGATAAGGCAGACATTTGAAAGATACGTCGCCGGTGCTGGACCGTGCGATCGGCAAAAGTTATCCAGATTCATCAAAATTAACGACTTCGGACGCGAGGCCCTCCGTCGATTGGTTTTGATCTAATAAAAGCACTCGTCCTATCACTGATCAGAGTTCTGATTGCATGTATTAGCTCTAGAATTACCACAGTTATCCAAGTAACTGAGCAAGATCTAAGGAACCAAAACTGATATATTGAGCCATTCGCGGTATCGCCTTAATACGGCTTGCACTGAGACATGCATGGCTTAATCTTTGAGACAAGCATATAAACTGGCAGGATCAACCAGGGAGCTTAACTCCTCACACATTTATGCGCGCACACCTCATCAGACGTAAAACCGTAATCGACGAGGAGTGACTTGCACAAGCAATGAAATTGTGGTCGGTGCTGCGTCGTAGTCTCCGGGATATATATATATATATATAATAAATACGCCCGTAGTCGTAGACAACAGTATCTCACCAGCGCGTATCTCTTCCTCCTCGTGTACCACCGCGAGAGTAGTAAAACAAGGGGGGAGGGGGGGAAGCGCCCACGTTCGCACAAAGTTCGCATAGAAGCACTGTTCACTTTCGTAGAATATTGTTTCAATAATGATCGTAACAACACATGAACGGTGTTCACGCCCGGAGCTATAGAGGCTCCACCCACGACGCTTTGAAACGGACACACACACAAACACACTGTTGTTGTTGTGTGTACGTCTGATTCAAAACATACGTCGAGTAAAAACTTTGTCGCGAGCTTGACTTAGCCTACGCGACCCGCGGCTCGCACGATCGAAAGGGAAATTCTTTCCAAGCGTTGTTGGAGAGAATCCCTGTCGTGTGTAATGCCAACGCTTGAAAGTCAACAACCTTTTCAATTTTATTGTGTGTCATGATGCGATCAGCCCACGTGTTTAACCTGATCCGAGTTTAATATTTTTACCCATACAAAAAAAAGTGTACAACGCCGCTAAAGAAGTTTTCACTTCAAAACCCCTAAAGTAAAGCAAATTTTAAGCGCAATTTTCGAATTGCAAATTGCATTTTCTTTATTTGTAAGAGTAATATTACATGTTTTTTAATATATAACATGCCAGGGCGAAGTTTCAAGATGCTAAACCTTTTGCTACACAAATATTTTTAGTCTGGTTACTTATCTAAATACTTTTACTACTTAATTGCCTTCATCCGCGTTAACTTTAATTTATCGAATATCCCTCGGGAACCTTTAATTTTTTCGGGATAAAAAGTAACCTATGTCCTCATACAGGTCATAAACTATATGCGTACTAAATTTTATCCAAATCCGTCGAGTAGTTTTTTGCGTGATTGAAAAACAAACAAACAAAAACTTTCACATTTATAATTTTAGTAGTATTATAATGTATTCGATTCTGGCATGATTGAGACTAAGGCCCGTATTAGAGAAATATTCTCAGTGATTGATTTAGTCTTGAGCATGGTTAGAAAGGGATGTCGCTATATATAGCACATAGCGACATCCCTTTCTAACTGTACCTAAGTAAAGATCAACACTGAGTTGTCATTCCTAAACCTAAACTTAAATTTGTCAACTGCGTATCCTTGTCATTCTCTATACAGCATGAAAAGGAGATACTGATGTTAAATTTCGTTTTAATTTTAGAAAATCAGGCCAGAATTGACAGCAATATCATTATTTATTTATTTATACTTTATTGCACAAATGAGTGACCAAGTGGCGGGCTTAATGCAATTAGGCATTCTCTACCATTCAACCAAATAGCAAAAAATATTAAGAAGGTAGTGCAAAAAGAATTCATGAAATTACTTATTATAATTAAAGTATATCTATGGAAAAAAGATAATATATAAATGCTACATAAAGTACATATCTATAAACATACATAAAGGATAATATATATTTACATAATAAATAATAATAATAAATAACACATTATAAACATACACACTAATAAAAATATTTTAACACCTATAGTTTATTATAATGAGTTCTAATCAATGATCTATGTATATGTATTCTATTCTAATGTATAGTATATGTATTCTATCCGTTACCCTAGTATCTCATAACACAAGCCTTACAGTGCTTACTTTGGGGCTAGGCTAATTGGTGTGAGTGTTGGAAATATTATATTATTATATTATAATGAATCCTTGTTGTGCAGCTATAGTGAAATGGTGCACGACAGTGTTGGGCTCGGTGCCCCTCCCCCAAGTGATGGGGTTCGTGGCCGCGCCCGGGTGCGGCCTGCGAGCTAGGCTGAAGCAATCACCACAACACCAGTACCATCTGCCGGAGTTGGCTAACCTCATCAATAATGCAAGGTATACGTAATGGCGAATAACTTTAATGTATAAGTTTAATGAACAGTTAAAACAATGTATAATGCGATTCAACTTAGAATAGGACCGACTGTGCGCCATATTGTGACGTCACAGCTGTCAATTTAAACCAAATAGGTAGCGTGAGCAAAAAAGTTGTTAATTAAAACTTATTTAAATCCGCGTCCGCTGCCTGGTCCGCGTGCATTTTTTCTAGTAAACTTTTCTTTAGATTTAAACATCGAGCAGTTAAATGCTTAAAAAAAGACATAACTATGGTTGATATTTCTTCTTTCAAATGTTTAATACTTGAAAACGTTTTCATTTGACATTGTGGGTTGCCTACAATGCGAAGAGATGGCGCTGTCTTGCAGCTTAAGGCTAGGAAAATTTCGACGCGGCTAATAGGGCCGTGGTAGCATAATGGTCAGTGCATTCGCCCGGATTGCGAACGGTGCGGGTTTGAGTCCCGTCCGCTGCCTGGTCCGCGTGGAATTGTTTCTAGTTATATTTTCTTTAGATTAAAACTTATTTACTAGGATTAAGAGAGAAAAAATACAGATTTTTTTAAAAGTTTGAAATCTAGTTTATGAACGCAACTGAAAGTGACATTTGGTTGACGATTTAGGTTATCATCCATTCATAGCCAAAGCTCAATAAATTAAAAAAAAAAATTATAAATATTTGTTATTGTTTGTTTACACATGTTTGGTTTTTATTCTAGTATAAGCTGAGTGCTAAAAAAGGCTTCCAAGATATTTTTGCAAACCGTACATTTCAAGCGACCTTTGATAAATAGGGTATTTGACAGTTTTAAAAATAAAGTGCCAATTGTTATCATCTGTGTTTAGAATGAATATTGGCACGGGTTTTAACTATTTTGACAAAAAAAATATTCATAATTTTACTAAAAACCCACGAAAAAGATTATAGTTTTCTTATCTATTGCCACGTGATCCAAAACGCTTGGGATTGGCGGAGCCTAAAATGACGTCACACGCAAGTAAACTTCCGGTTAAAGTGACATTACATTGTATCGTTTGACGTTTTAATAACAGTCGTGTGACGTCACACACTAGTAAGACGCCATATTGTCCAGAGAAACGATTTCGCGGCATAGAAATGTTAAAAGATGAACAATTTAGGAAAATTTTACCATGTAATAATAATTAAAAGTATATTTGCTATATAATATAAACATAAGGTCATTTCCAAGTACCGTGTCAAATAATTGACTTCACTGAGAATGCGAAGTTTGTAAGTCATTTAGATTCACCTAGAGTGACTAGATGGCGTTGTCGTAACTCTTAACTCTTTCTATGTTCTTCCAAAGTGAATCTTTCGATTCTGAAACTTGTGTTCTCCGTATTCCATCAGCGCTGGATCTTCGTTCCAACTGCACGGGGTGAAGGTCCAGGTCCTGGCCGGGGACGGAGACGCCGAGTGGAGATCAGCTCAGGCGGCGCACCAACTTCACTCACTTATCAGCACCGAACACAATGAGGCACAGGTATACTTCCTATACAGTCATTACAGCCTGGTACTTTAAGCCGAAAATCTTGAATCAATAATTCATTTCTTTAATCATTCATTGATAACATCTAGTTTCCTATAGGAAACAGAGCACGTTGTGCTCATAGGCAACCGGGAATGGATGTTCCGGAACGGGGTTCGAGTCCCGCGCGTGGTTAGCGACGCTTTGGCCGCAGACGAAGCATTGGGACGCACTGCTGTATTGGTAGCTATTGATGGTGAGTAACTATGACAGATATAAGTTGATTATTATAGGGCATTTGTATCATTATCATCCGCATATTAATTTCAGCTCGGGTACTAAATCTTCAGCATACCAATGTATTAATGTCACCTCCTGCTAGTCTATGAAGTCCTGGTACTAACGCCATGAGTATTCAGTCTATTAATGTCGCCCCTGCTAGACTATGTCGTCCTAGTACTGACTCTACAAAATATACTGATCATATCCTATTAGTTCTTTTTGTTTGCATAATTTAACATAAGAAGGAGATAGAAAGCCTCTCTTGAGTTTGTTTCGCCGGTTCTTCTCAGGAAGGTCTCCCAATTTTGGAACCGGTGGTAGTTTACGGTAGTTAGGGTCAAATAAATAAACTCAAAATTACAAACAAGAATTTTAAATAAAATACTTTATTAAGTAAATTAAATAATAAATTCATACATAGACAATAAAAATTTTAAAAATCTTCCAATGAAATAACCGAACGCACAATATAATTCTTTCGAAGGTAGCTCGACAATTTTAAATAAAATCATTATTCTGACGATGCAGACCTGAAAAGGCTGCGAAACGTCAATAAATAAATAAAGTTTCGTGCATTAACCCGTAAAAACTAGTTTTATTTAATATTATACTCGTCATATCACTATTTTATTGTCACCGCCTGCTAGATTATGTCGTCCTAGTACTGACTCCATACAGAGTATACTTACTCATATCATAATATCAGCCTATTTATGTCACCTCCTGCTAGACTGTGAAGACCTGGTACCAACGTCATACATAATATACTCGTCATATCAGTCTATTAATGGCACCCCCTACTAGACTATGAAATTCTGGTACTAACGCCATATATAATATTATGCTCATCATATCAGTCTATTGATGGCACCCCCTTCTAGACTATGTCATCTAGTACTGACTCCATACAGAATATACTCATCATATCAGCCTATTTACGTCACCTCCTGCTACCAACTAGTCCTGGTACCAACGTCATACATAATATCATTATCATCAGCCTATGAATACCCCCACTGCTGATGCACAGATCTTCCCTATGGATGTAATAGGAAGAATGGGCCATGAAATTATTGGTGGGTGCTAACTACTGCAGATGCAGCCAGGACCAACGACTACAGATGCAGCCGGGACCAACGGCTTAACGGGACTTCCAAAGCACGGAGGACTGAGAGATATATAGAGTATATTTACGGTGACCCATCCGATGACGAGGCATTGCGAAAGTTACTTAACATCCAAGATTAAGAACAAACGCACTGACACTGCTATTACGTACTTATTTCTATAAAAATCGATAATATTTTTAAGTAAACGCACCAAATACAAGAAGATATAACTTAATGAAATGCCGAGTTTTTCTATCTTTGCGATTATTGTCATTTTACCCCCAAAATCTAATTCAAATCTATCAATATTTTAAAATTAAACTTACTACCGATCCTATTAGCCCGAATAGCGGAAATTTCGGGTTTGAGTCCCGTCTGCTACCTGGTCCGCGTGGGATATTTTCTAGTAAACTTTTCTTTAGATTTAAACATCACACAGTTAAATTCTTAAAAAAATCACACTAATATTATAAAGGCGAAAGTTTGTGAGTGTGTATGTTTGTTACTTCTTCACGTCTAAACGGCTGGAGCGTTTTCAATAAAATTTGGTATGGAGTTAGCTGACACCCTGGATTAACACATAGGCTACGTTTTACTGCGGGAAATTATCCTTAATAAACTGCGGGTAACACCGCGGGGCACAGCTAGTATATATATATATATATATAAAATTGAGTGCTTGTTAAAATGACGCGCTGTCTCATTTTACTCTTAAGAGAAAGGGACAGCAACAACTTTTTAACTTCAAAACTAAATCACATCTCTGAGTGCAACCGCTACGCACTATTTCAAAAGCCCTTAATGTTTACAGATCAGCTTGTGTGCACAGTGGGAGTATATGATGAAGTAAAGCCGGAAGCACATCTAGCTGTGTACTGCCTCAAGAAAATGGGCCTGGAAGTGTGCTTATTGACCGGGGACAACAGGAAGACTGCCGTGGCCATAGCGAGACAGGTCAGTGAAATCCCGGGACTCCGGGACTTTTGCATTTTAGTAGGACTTGTTAATAAACATAGTTTTGTTGAGGTTGGCCATAGCAAGACAGGTTAGGAAATTCCGGGACTCCGGGACTTTTGCACTTTAGCACCGGGACTGTAGAAATACGTTAGTTTTAAAGAGGTAACTGTCCCATCAATACTATGAGATGCATAGAGTAAAAAATGCATCAAGAAATGGGCTTAGAAGTTTGTCTAGTGACAGGGGACAACGGGAAGACTGCCGTGGCCATAGCGAGACAGGTCAGTGGAACCCCGGGACTCCGGGACTTTAGCATTTTTGTAAGGTTTGAAAAAACTACGTGCAACCTTATCTTTTTTTGCTTGAGGTCGTTTAAAAACCTATACATTCACTATAAGGCTTGTGTTATGGGATGCTAGGGTAACGGATAGAATACATACACAGTACATATATAAGTATATTTATATAGAAATACATATTAAACATCCATGACTGGAGTACAAATGCACGTATTCATCACACAAACATCTGCCCCCACCGGGATTCGAACCCGGGACCTCTCGAGTCGGCGACACCATGAAACCCGGCGTACAAACCATTTGGCCACTGAGGTCGTATATACAGTGCTATATATACAAACGTATGGTACGTATGGTCGTATATACAAACCAATATTGGATTCGAATAGTTCGCGAGTGCAAAATGTCAGTATCAAGTGTGTAGTGATCTTTAGTTGTACAGATTTCCATACAAAATTTGTCAATGACATTTCGGATTCGCAAACAATTCGAATTCGATATTGGTTCGTGCTAGGTGTACAGTACATCACATCATCAAATCACCAGCCTATTAATGTCCTCACTGCTGGGGCGCAGGCCTTCCCGATGGATGGAATAGGGAGATTGGGCCATGACCCACCACGCGGGCCCAGTGCGGATTGACGGGCGCTAACGACTGCAGATACAGCCGGGACCAACGTCTTAACCTGCCTTTCGAAGCACGGAACGAGAAATAGTAAATTTTTGGTCACCCATCCAATGACCGACCACTGCGAAAGTTGCTTAACTTCAACGATCGCAGCCGAACATGCTAACGAGGGGTACAGTACGCGTCAAAGTTAATAGTGTTTACTTATTTTGCATCAGGTTGGAATTAACAAAGTGTACGCAGAAGTGCTGCCCTCCCACAAAGTGGCGAAAATACAGAAACTGCAGGAGCAAGGGCAGAAAGTGGCGATGGTAAGTTCTATTCATTAACTTGAGTAACTTTCGGTCTAAATTAAATGTATTTATTTACCTGGACTCTGCCATGAAAACCAAATCTTCGTAGGAAATATATACAGACAGATGCGAACCATATTTTTAATAAAATATGATTTATTGGAACGAAATTCCTTACGGCAGGCTTGGAGGGGATAGGGATTTTGCTGCGCGACCGAACTGAAAAAAAATGTGATAGTAAAACCGTAAGAAAAAATCCGTGGAAAAAAGTGCGTGGAATAAAACCGTTAAAAAAGACGTGCGCAGGCGCGACAGTCTCATACACAAGCGAGTTTGCAATTTGTGTCGATTCTACATTAGCCGAAGGAACTTCGTTCCTACCTGGTGTCCCATGACACCACATCATTTCTTTTTTGAAGTGAAAACTTCTTCAGCGGCGTTGTACATTTTTTTTTGTATGGATAAAAAATGATAAACTTGCGTCAGGATACGTGCCGTAAGACGAAAACAATAAAATTGGAAAGGTTGTTGACTTTCAATATATTGGACGAAACATAGTAATATTTTATTTTATCGTATTATAATAATGAGTCTCTAACTAGGACGATACGACAATAGATGTCGCTAGGTGCGCTTAAATGTGATTCATGTAAGTTAATTTTTCTGAGAGATAAACTTTTTAGTGTAATATAAATTGTCATGTTTGTGTACGATAGCGCAATACATAAATAAATATTGTATTCTACCACATAAATGATAGTACTTTTATACTGATAATTAAAGCAATTCGTGCGAAATTATTCCCTAACCATTCCACAATATCAAAAATGCACAACGTTAATATTCAACTTTTCACTTATGCCGGCACTAACGGAGTACAACCCATCCTTTTTTATTTTTTTAAGCATGAACAGCTTAAAACTAAAGAAAATTTTACTAGAAAAAATGGCGCTGCCTTGCAGCTTAAGAGAGGCTAGAGAAAATTCGACACGGCCGTCAGGGCCGCGTTAGCATAATGGTAGCATATGCAGTGCATTCGCCCGGATAGCGAAGGGTGCGGGTTCGAGTCCCGTCTGCTGCCTGGTCCGCGTGGAATTTAATATGTCAAGAAAATTCATATAGCGTAAAATAACCTTTGATAATACATTATGAAATTCATAAATCATCAAATTTGACAATTTTTTTAGATTAGTTAAGATTAAAAAAAAGGACATATTTCCAATGTTTCACACAAATGTTGCTCTATTTGTGTCGCTTTATTAGCCTCTGGTTCATTTAATGTCATTTTTTTCAAATACTTTTGTCATCAGTATCCCTAGCACGAATGTCGATATTCGAATATTTTGGGACTGCGAAATGTCAATGTCAAATTTTGTATAAATACTTGAACAGCAACGCCACAACGAACGTAACGAGAACTAAAAAAACAGTACACATTTGACGTGTATCTAAATCGAATTCAATATTGGTTCGTGTTAAGGGTACCTTGCCCCAAGCACTAACTTTGACAGATCCATATTATATTCATCATCATCCAGCCTCTTAATGTCCCCACTGCTGGGGCACAGGCCTTCCCTATGGATGGGAGATTGGGCCATGACCCACCACGGGGGCCCAGTGCGGATTGGCGGGTGCTAACGACTGCAGATGCAGCCGGGACCAACGGCTTAACGTGCCTTCCGAAGCACGGAGGAACTCGAGATAGAAATTTTTGGTCACCCATCCAATGACCGACCACTGCGAAAGTTGCTTAACTACAACGATCGCAGTCGAACGCGCTAGCCACCTGCGCCATCGAGCTCCTCGTATTTGACATTAGACGTATATCTAAATCGAATTCGATATTGCTTAGTGTTAAGGATACCTTACCCCAAGCTCAAACTTTGACAGATCCATCTTCGTATCGCCATCGTCAAAGTTTCTGTGAAAACTTAAGGAGCGCCCTCTACCGGATGTAAGAACAAACCGACTTCTTCCACAATAACTGACGATGGCAATACGAATACTTTCTCGCTTGTTTTCCTGCTTGAGGTACTATAACTAGATCTGTGTTTTATTATCATTGTTGTGTATTATATAAAATTTTTGGTCACCCATCCTACGCCCGACAGTTGTCGACGTTGCTTAACCTACATTATCGCATATGCAGGTCGGTGACGGGGTGAACGATTCCCCCGCGCTGGCTCAGGCCGACGTGGGAATAGCTATAGCCAGTGGAACCGATGTAGCTGTGGAAGCTGCTGACCTAGTACTGATGAGGGTAAGCATATAGAATACTGGGTAGAATAGAGAACTCAAACTCAAAAACTCAAACTCGAAAACTCAAACTCGAAAACTCAAACTAAATAATCATTTATTCAGTCTAGGTTGTTACAAGCACTCATGAATGTCTAGAAGCTACGCCATCGTTTCGGAAATCTACGGCGGGAGACCTTGTACTGAGAAGAACCGGCAAGAAACTCAGCAAGGGCTGTTTTTTTCTCCCTGTATTATTATATACTTAGTCGTCAACTTGAAAAATGACTTCAGGGATACTTCTGAAGTTACCTTCCATAGGGTATTTGACAAGTTTTAGAAAACGATCTCACGTTATTGACTAATGTTTATGGAGTCCGTAAAAATTCATCATTCTGTTGTGTACTTCAGTATAAATAACCAAATCAAAAACTCCATTTGCAAGTTGCCGCGAAAACATTTCTACGGACAATATGGCGTCTTACTAGTGTGTGACGTCACACGACTGTTATTAAAACGTCAAACGATACAATGTAATGTCACTTTAACCGGAAGTTTACTTGCGTGTGACGTCATTTTAGACTCCGCCTATCCCAAGCGTTTTGGGTCACGTGACAATAGATAAGAAAACCATTATCTTTTTCGTTAGTTTTTAGTAAAATTATGAATATTTTTTTGTAAAAATAGTAAAAACCCCTGCCAATATTCATTCTAAACACAGACGCTAACAATTGGCACTTTATTTTTAACACTGTCAAATACTCTATTACATCATTTAGAATATAGATCTATAGTTACAATAAATATTATAGTTAACTGTATATTTTTTGTACGATGGAAGCGGCATTTACTAATACCCATTAAATTTAAAAATATAAGAAACACTGTCCATGCATTACGATCATTGGACTGTACTGTTAGCACGAACAAATAACGAAATCGAATAGTTTGCAAGTGCGAAATATCATTGTCAAATTTTTTATTGAAACTGGAATTACATTTCATTAATTATTATTATTTACAAACACATTTGACGTATGTGATTCTTAGGTTTTCACGCACATCACTCATTAAATAAAACTAGTCTTAACGTATGTATTCTGACGATGCAGACCTGAAAAGGCTGCGAAACGTCAATAAATAAATAAAGTTTCGTGCATTACCCGTTAAAACTAGTTTTATTTACATTTGACGTATAAAGCAGATCGAATTCAAATGGTTGAATTCGATCTCGATATGCGTCGAATGTCAAAAACTTTTGTATAGAAGATTTTTGATTTTCGTTGCTTCCGTTGTGGCGCTGTTCAAATTTCCATACAAAACTTTTCGAATTTGATGTTGGTTCGTGCTAAGGGTATATTGATATTTATGGGATGAAAACTCGATAAACACTTTCTAATTCTCCAATTTGTCTAATATATTTGTTTTATTTTATTTTATTGAAAGTATAATGATTTCGTATTACAAATGCATACCCACGTTTTTAACAGAAAATTTTTAATAAAGTTTAAACTGGAAAATTAACTATCTCAACTCATTTGTTTCTTCACTTTCAGTCTTGCGACCGTAGTCTGTAAACGGTCCGAAACTATAAAAAGAATGCAAAATTCAATAAATCTCACTTTATTCTATTAATTCAAAAAATCTGTTTTATTAAAAAGTATACTTATGAAAACGGATCAAGTATTTTATTGCAATAATAAAATTTCCATCCATAATAACCAATATTATCAGTTTTTCAAAATGGCTTTTTACTTTAATTTCCATAAATAATTTATCAGCGTACTCGTACATGAAAGAATTAAATAATTATTTACAAATTGTGGGCAATAAACCCAATTTAAACATACTTACTTGATCCCTAAACACTTGTGAGTTGTGTATTTAATAAGCCAAGTTTAAAAAAGTTCATTTTCTTTTCATTTTATTGAATACAAGCGGTCGCCCGCGACTTCGTACGCGTGGAGTTAGTTAGAAATAAAGGTTCAGTGCTCGTTCCCCGTAGGTGATAGCGTGATAATATGTAGCCTATATGTTGACCTGACTTCTTAATAATATTCGTGCCAAATTTGAAGTAAATCCATGCAGGACTTTCTTAGTTTATCCCGGACATACATACAGACAAAAATCTAAAAAAAATGGATGCGTGTAACTTATGTACGCGCGTGAGAAGTTATACTTCTTTAGCATCATTAAAAATATTTTTTAATTGCATGCAAATAATTAATAATTACAATAAAATAATAAAAGCACTGGAAAAGGATAGTTAACACAGTCAATTAAGTTCAGTTTTAATTTGAAAAATTAAATAAATATTCAAAATATTCAATTAAAATCACTACTGAATTTAAGTTATTAGTCCATATGTAATTAGCACTTGTAAGTAACTAAAACACGTTGTGTCTATATAGAAACTAGAAACATGTGGATAAATATTATAAATATGAAAACAGTGATCATCTTATGGAGCTCCGTGGATCGTTCAAAGTACCTTTCGAACAGATGTCTAATAATGGTGGATTATTAACCACTAAGTGGTTAATAATCCACCATTATTAGACACTAACATTCATAACGCGCCCGCGGCCAACTTCTTGGTGTTACTATGGTGTTACAGTGATGCGCGCGCATCTCGAAATTTCACTCACATGATTTTTTCATAACGCGCCCGCGGCAAACTTCATGCTGTTACTTTTGGGTTACAGTGATGCGCGCGCATCTAAAAATTTCACTCTCATCATTTTTTCATAACGCGCCTAAAGAAGTATAACTTCAAAAACTATACAACTATAATTTTTGGCTTCAGTATCGATTGTAGATCACACCCCAAGTATTCTTTTAAAAAAAAAATCAATGTACAGTTTTGACTCTCCTACCATTTTATTTTATGTACAGATTAAATGTAATAAAAAAAACAATATCTCTTTGCCTCTTCCAGAACGATTTATTAGATGTGGTAGCCTGCCTAGAGTTATCCAGAACAACAGTACGAAGGATACGACTCAACTTTTTGTTCGCGTCCGTCTACAACCTGCTGGGGATTCCCCTCGCGAGTGGAGCGTTCGCGGCGTACGGACTTAAACTGCAGGTAATATTTTAACATAGATTTTCTCTATCATCAGCCTAACTGCACCTCCTGCTGGACTATGTCAGCCTGGTACTTACGCCATACTTAATATACCCACATTATTATTCATCATCATCATCAGCCTATTAATGTTCCCACTGCTGGGGAACAGACTTTCCCTATGGATGGAATAGGGAGATTGGGCCATGACCCACCACGCGGGCCCAGTGCGCATTGGCGGGTGCTAACGACTGCAGATGCAGCCGGGATCAACGGCTTAACGTGCCTTCCGAAGCACGGAGGAGTGAGAGATAGTAAATTTTAGGTCACCAATCCAATGACCGACCACTGCGAAAGTTGCTCAACTTCAACGACCGCAGCCGAACGCGCTAACCACTGGTGCCATCGAGCTCCTCACATTATTATTATCAGCCTATTATTATCCCCACTGCTGGGGCACAGGCCTCTATGGATGGAATAGGGAGATTTGGCCGTGACCCACCACGTGGGCCCAGTGCGGTGCAGCCGGGACCAATAACATAACGTTCCTTTATTCTCATATAGGTAATGCCCTTCTCCGTGTTCTCATACATTCCCATACTAAAAGGCTGTGCCGATGATCACTAGATTTAGGTTACCGCAAGGTTCATATTTGGGGCCACTTATATTTGCTATTTTCTTAATGATTGTATTTATTTATTTAAAGGAGAAGGTTTCGAAAAAGGTTTCCGGCAGCGGCGAAGCATATATGATTTGAAATCTTGTTTTATACTATATCCCCGATTAATTATAAGTCATGTTTAGAAAACTTACAATTTTGAAGGGATACTGGCCACACTGTCGTAAGGATGTTACATTTCTAATTAACGTCAACTTAATCACTATGACAAATGTCAAAGGTCCCAGTCATTATACAAATTTATGATTGATTATTTTTGAAATTAAATACACAAAATACGTAACTTTTTTTTATACTCTAAAGTCATCTTGTGTTTAACAAATTATGGAAGTAAACTTCCGTTGAAAGTGACATTACATTGTTTCGTTTGACGTTTTAATGACAGTCGTGTGAAGTCGCACACCAGTGAGATGAGACGCCATAATGTTCGAAGAAACATTTTCGCGCCAACTTGAATATTGAATTTTCGGTTTAGGGTTTTTTTTACTGAAATACACAACAGTACCCTTAGCACGAACCAATATCGAATTCGAATCGGAATCGAGTCCGAAATGTCATTGTCAAATGTGTATTGCTTTTTAGTTCTGTTTACGTAGTTTGTGCCGATGCTGTGCAACTTTCCATACAAAATTTGACACTGACATATCGGTTTGCAAACTATACGAATTCGTTAATGGTTCGTGCTAGGGGTACAGACTGATGAATACCAACTTTTTACGGACTCTACAAACAGAGATAATAACGCGAGATCGTTTTCTTAAACTAGTCATAAACCCTATATTGTCAGACATTATAATCCTAATATACTTTTCAATAAGGTTTATTTTACGTTGCACGTTTGTTTCAGCCGTGGATGGCATCAGCTGCTATGGCGATGAGTTCCGTTTCAGTAGTCTGCTCAAGTTTATTGCTCAAAACGTGAGTGTAACTCAACACATATTCATTCATAGTTTCCCATTTGAATAAAGACATTTTTTAGTTATAATTTTTATTATTTTAAAGCATGTAACTGCTTGATGTTTAAATCTAAAGAAAATATAACTAAAAAAAAATCCACGCGGACCAGGCAGCAGACGGGACTCGAAACCGCACCTTTCGCAATCCGGGCTAATGCACTGACCAATGAGGGCTATCGCGTATTAATCCGCCGCTAGAGGCGCTAGTGTAGCGTGAGGTCTCCGAAATGTCAAATGTTATTGCTTGTTGGTTGTCTACGCGGGTTTATTTCTAATTAAAATAATGTTGTGAATAATTGGTAACAATTCGGCTTAATTATGGCAAATATGAGTTATGTGGCAATGAATGTCAGTTATTAAAAATTTGAGCTTAGACAAATGATTATATTCCCATTTATTCCGAATAAAACGAAACTGCGCGTCACTGTGGCATGGCCTATTATGTTTAGGATATGGTTCTTTTGTGTTAAAATACCTAGATCTAAATGTAACCTTTGATTTCATGTGCGTATTAATAAACTTTATAAGTTACAATTTAGGACCTCACTCAACAGTGGCGCGATCTGGTGAAACAGAAAACGGTAGCCCTCATTATGCTACCGCGGCCGTCACATTTGACATTGTGGGCTATCTATAATGCGAAGAGATGGCGCTGCCTTACAGCTTCAGAATGGCTAGAAGAATTTCGACGCGGTCCGTGAGGGCCGCGGTAGCATAATTGGTCAGTGCATTCGCCCGGATTGCGAAAGGTGCGGGTTCGAGTCCCGTCTGCTGCCTGGTCCGCGTGGAATTTTTTCTAGTTATATTTTCTTAGACATTTTTTACTTTGACTAAAAACCGAATATCAGATTGAACTCGAACCTGTAACCTCGCATTCGACTAAATTTTTCAATTTCAGTTTCAAGAAACCCACGATAGAAGAACTAACCACCCCCGAGTATCTCCAATCGATACATCTAGAAGACTTGGACTCTGTGTCTGTCCATAGAGGATTAGACGAGAGAGTGGATGCAGACGATAGAGGGGCATCGCCACTCGCCAAGTGAGTACTCTATAATCAAATCAAATGTATTTAAACACTAGCGGCTGCCCGCGACTTCGTACGCGCGGAGTTAGAAATAAAGGTTCACTGCTCGTTCCCCGTAGGTGATAGCGTGATAATATGTAGCCTATATGTTGACCCGACTTCTTATCCTATCCCACATATTATTTATATTTTAGAACTAGCAGCCGCCCGCGACTTCGTACGCGTGGATTTAGTCATTGGCACATACTTTTTGACCCCAAAAGGGGGTTTATTTCTAAAGATATATTATTAGGACACCTCTACACCATCTACAGAGCATACATGTTAAATTTCAAGTCTCTTACTTCAATAACATAGGACTGTCATACAAACTTCCAACCCCCGTATTTTCTCCTTAGGGGTGGAGTTTCGTAATAATATGTAGCCTATATGTTGACCCGACTTCTTAATAATATTCGTGCGAAATTTGAAGTAAATCCATGTAGTACTTTTTGAGTTTATTCCGGACATACATACAGACAAACAGACAAAAATTCTAAAAACTATATTTTTGGCTTCGGCATCGATTGTAGATCACACCCCAAATATTCTTTAAAAAAATATTCAATGTACAGTTTGACTTTCCTACCATTTTATTATATGTGTAGATAAATGTTATTATAAATATGTTAGCCAACGTCACTCATATAAATACTTATTTAAACAAAAAAATATTTGGTTTTCCCATTGTCCCTACAAAACTTTCCCGTTCACCTCGTTAATTGATAAAATTATTTGGGCATTACAGTTAACCTCACTAAATGGGAATGCACAGACACTCTCTTATTAATAAATGAAGATTAAGCTTGGATTAGTTCCTCCATGTTTCTGTCCATTGAATAATTTTAAATAAAATATTTAAAAATATTAATTTTAAAATAGGGTATTTGAAAGTGTTTAAAATAAAGTGCCAATTGTTAGCATCTGTATTTAGAATGAATATTGGCAGGGGTTTTTACTATTTTTACAAAAAAATATTCATAATTCTACTTAAAACTAACTAGAAAGATAATAGTTTTCTTATCTATTGTCACGTGACCCAAAACGCTTGCGATTGGCGGAGTCTAAAATGACGTCACACGCAAGTAAACTTCCGGTTAAAGTGACATTACATTGTATCGTTTGACGTTTTAATAACAGTCGTGTGACGTCACACACTAGTAAGACGCCATCTTGTCCAGAGAGACGCTTTTGCGGCAACTTGAAAATGGAGTTTTTGATTTGGTTATTTTTACTGAAATACACAACAGAATGATGAATATCTACTTTTTACGGAGTCCACAAACATTAGTCAATAAAGTGAGATCGTTTTCTAAAACTTGTCAAATACCCTATTGAATAACTAATCCAAGATTATTCCTCGCTTATTGATAAGTGGGTTAAGATTTACAAGTAGTTGCAATTTGATGTCCACACTTACGAGTAATTTTAGTAGCAAATGGAATATACAGGGTGTTTTGGAGGGAAAGTACTGTGAATACAGATAGAAAGGTTTTAGTGTAGAGTTTTAATATACTTAAATGCTTTTCGTATTGTTTTTAAAAATAAAATGAAGTCTTCATTTAATAAAATTTTCTGTTTACAGTATTTAATAATAATAATAATATTTTATTTCAGACCATGTCTTGACGATTAGAACATGACCATTTTTTATTAGTTAAAATATCGTTTAAAAGATAATGAGGATCATTACTCGGTCAGCAAATCAACTCGAAATCAACAGTATAATGATCTAATTAGCTTTTTTAATTAATATACTTTTTAAATCATCGAAATCGGTTCATTCGTTGCGTTTTATAACTAACTAGTAGCCCGCCCTCGCTTCGCTTCGGTATTTTATTCCCTTGGGGGTAGAATTGATCAAAATCCTTTCTTAGCGGATGCCTACGTCATAACAAGCCCTTACCGCCAAATTATCGTAAGCGACACTCGCCAAATTATCGTAAGCGACACTTTTGTCGAAATGCGTTTTTTGTGGAAACTAATATTTTAAACCGTAACGGACCCATCTCTGTTGATATTTCCCTCTATTCTTCCCTCTATTATATTATAACGGTGTTCTTTTGGAGGGAAATATCAACAGAGATGGGAGATTTCGAATGATGCCATTGGATGCCATGCGTCATAAGAGAGAGAGGGGTAGCTAGCGGTCTCTCGTCTTCTTTCTCTTTCTACTAGACGGACACTTTTAGAGTCGCCTTCCCCACTCTATTCTTATACCTCTATGGTTGTATATCACTATGTTTCACTCACGCTTTTTCTTTCTTCCTCGCACCAGCAAGAAGAACACGTGGAAAACTGCACTCATTCAGGTCTAGTTGTTGAGTAGTGTGTACGTAGAGATGATTATATACTAATAATGTGTGTGTGTGTCTGTTTGTTTGTACAAAAAGTACAGTGGTGGAGGTAAGAGGTTGGGCCTTTTGTGGAGTTAGGCAGGCGTTTTTTGAGTTCATGACATGAGACATTTAAAAATGTTCTGGTATTTTGTAGTGTTAAGTTTGATTTCATAAATAATTGCTGCTTGATTATGTGATTGACTTATTAAATAAGTAAACTCTTTTTTAGTATTTTTTTTATGCAAGGAAATATGATATTTTGTAACTTGTTAAGAGCCCTTTCACATTTCTTGCAAAAAATCGTAATTTTTGAGCCCCTCGTGAACTCCCTTAGAAAAGATTTTGACTATTTCCAATAGAAGTAAACAGTAGATTTATTCTTCCTATTGTAAGTTAATGTAGAATATTTGCAAATACTGCTATTTTCATTTTTTTGTACTGATCGTTCTACTGCAGCTAGTTTACGGAAAAAACGATAATATGCACAACTTCAAACGCCTCAATCTCTCAATAATGTTCAATAAATTAGATCAAATTAATTACTAAGACATCAGAAATATTTTTTTGTTGTAACATAATGTATTAGAATTTTGATTTTCCATCTCTTTAATTATCAAAACAATCATCTAACCTCCGTGAGTTTTCTCAAAAAATAATGCAGGTTTACCTCGTATTTTTATAATTATTGAATTAAATAGAATTACTATCAAAAACTTTCATAAAACTAATCTACTGTCATTGAACTACTGAAATATGTATATATTTTTATAATTAGTACATTAATAATTATTTTAAAAGACTCGAAACATCACCCGTAAAATGCTATATATACTAGTGCAAATCTACCTACGCGCCGATCAGTACGGCAGCGGCGCAATTTTGTAAAAGGGCTCTTATGTTAATATTTATATCAATTAAAGGACCACCAAATAATATTCAGCCTGGTAAAAAACTTTGCACATAATAAATGATTAATAAGTGTAATAAATGATTGGGCTTGAATTTACAACTTTTTTGTAATTTTCAGTCATTTATTTATATTTAACAGAAATAAGTTAATTATTTTTTTATTTTACTCTCTGATCATTCTCAGTGATGTGTAATAAATTGTAAACAACCTTCAAAATGTATTAAACAAATTATTTTATTTCTTATGTTATGTTTGCAATCATGAAGTTCATTATGATGTGATTGGTGTGCTTGATGTGTTTTGGGTTTAAGCTTGGTTTTTGGTTTTGTCACGCAAATGTGTATCTTACTATAACTATACATGACGCTCATTTTTGTATGTTTTTTTATTAGCATATACATATAAGAAATTTTAGCTTCTTTCAATGCTTTATTTATGGTATTAGATGTAAAATTTAAAGTATTCAAAGTATTATATGTAATTTCATTTCAAATCGCAGAATTAAAAATATAACAAGATATTAATATTTTTCTAATGTTATAAAGTATCGATACCATATTAGAGCTGTACCTTTAAAATCGATTTTGATGTATTGTGAATTTCTTTGTAGCCTGTTCTACTCTACGGCATTAAAAAGTATATAAGTTAGGGTAGAACTATCGCGATATAGTGCTAAGTAGTTTGAGACTAAAAAATATCGCCATCCACCATTCATCAGAATTTCATTGATTTTTTTTTGAAAATACCCGAACTTAAAAATAAAAGTAGTTTTTCTTTTATGGATGTTTATGGAAGTATTTATTTCACAGATTATTCCATCGAAGCAAATCGAGTGACGGACGCCTTTTGCAAGAGGAGGACGACATGATGTCTGTCTCTTTCATACCGAAGCGGCCGACCCGAGAAGCGCCGAGCTTGAACGGCTGAGAACGAAACTTAAGACTGCTTGATGATGTAAGACGGGGTTTACAGTAACGAAAATTACTTTTTAAACGTCGCCAGTGTTGCCAGGACATTGTAGTTGTTGGAGATTCTTGGGGGATCAGTGCAGAGAAATGAGATTTCTATAGATTCGCATAGTTATCTATTTTATACATTATATATCTGCATATATATTATTTGTAAAAAGAAATAACTTTTGTTGTGTGTATGACACTTCAATGAACCAAATTAATAATAATGGCCAACCGATTCCTAACCTTTAGATTATCAATTTTATTTTAAACTGCCCACTAAAATAGTTTCTTATTTATTGTACTAGATCTTCCAGAAATAACCTAAAGGAAACGTTTAATAATAATTTATTATTTTTATGTAAATAGGACGACAAGGAAGCGTATTATATCCCGGCTGATGGTAAGCGACCACCATGATGACGTTTGGTATTTGACTATAACGCTTGTCAAATACCAAACGCGCTTTTTCTTCCCTAAAAATGTGTTATTTTGCTCGACCTTACTTAAAGAGGATATTTCTGAGGCTCCAAATTCTTATATAGTAAGTTTAGTCATCAAAATAGTATGCGAATCATGTAGGGACCCCAAAAGGCCTATTTATCATGGCATCTCAAGAATTTATCAGAGAGAAGTGTCAATGTGTGACAAAAAATATGTCTTTCCCCAACTATGGAATGAAAGGCGCGAGAATTCCCAAGTGTTTTTGTGATAAATATCAAAGTTGTAGTGTATATGGCTATCAATTTGATCTTCCATAATGCTAAGTTATTATGCGTATTACTTGTATTTTTTTCTAATAAATGGAAGTGTGAATTTTAATGCAGATTGCATTATTGAAGTTTTTTATGGAAGCTGACTCAGTATATTTGTAGCCAAATACTCAATACATATTTTGCTACAAATCAATTCAATATACATTAAACATGGAGCACCCCCACTAGAGTCCGCATCACACAAATTTTGTTTGGAATCAAAATCGCCAAAGTCGGTGGGGTGCAGGGAGGTCAGCCCCGCTGTGATTGGACGCGTCAAGGTCAGATCATATACTCAGTGCAGCGAAATGATGAGGGTAAGATCGATTTTAGAAAATATCGATATTTTCTATCGATAAACAATTTAGAATAGAGGCCTAGTACTTTGGTGCGCAAATGCGTAATCATACCCTCTCCACTTTCTTACAGCGTTCTAATTACATGACGCGACTAGTAACTACATATAATTTAATATATAAGCAACACAAAAAAAAACACGTCCAGGACAAGAAGTATTAATGCAACGATATTAACTACCCTAGATACAACAACACGAACGAAATCGTGGCCGAAACGTGTCCAAAAGGTACATCGGACGATCCACAGAGGTCCGTAAGATGATCGCATGGTCAAAAACAATATAATGCCTTATTTAAACATTGAAAGTCACCTTTAATGCATACGGCATAAGGTCTTAATTAAAATGCATGCGTCAAGTTCGTAAAATTTTACATATAACACTATTATATGTGAAAGAATATAGACCTTATTTTTTTTTACTTTTCACGCGCAATTCTGAATGCGCTGTTAACAATATAGCAGGTACAGACCGCGAAGAAAAGAGATGGCTAAGGGCGACGTATAACCGACCATGCATTTGAATATCACAAATATTTTAAATTAAATCAGTTTATAGTAAGTATTACAACAATAAAATTTGCTTTAAAGGCGTTAATTAAAAAATATTAATTAGATACCCGTCGAAAAAACGACACTTACGTAACTATTAGTATTTTTCTGCATTTTTTCACGGAACTCTTTGGCATATTGACTTTTCAACGGTCCGCGTGTGACTGTGTACTAAGAAGTGCTTGAGTGGAGTTCAAGCACTTCTTGATTGGGACCACAGACTATTTAGATATTGAGACACATTTTGAGCGGTCGTGGTGTATCTAGGGTATTTAATATCGTTAATTCTATGTCTTTATCTAGGTCATAAATTATGCGCACTTAATTTCATACAAATCCGTTTAACCGTTTTAGCGTGAAAGAGTAACAAATATGCATACAAATTTTCGCGTTTTTCAAATTTTATTAGGATATGTTTGACTTCAATCAAATAAAAACTGTTGGTTGTATACTTATGATCTATTATTGTATACGATGAAATAAATAGTTTTTATTTATTTTTTCCATTTCCATAGCTGACAAACTTATCGACAAACTTACGCGTTGAGACATGAGCTGCGTCTGAGTCACTAGCAATACACGTGCCGGTGTGAGAGCGAGATAGCATATATGATGTAGCCCATGCGAGAAAGGGATAGTGTAAAAAGACATCAACGCGTTCACCAAAAAATAAGTACATTAACAGCAATTTAATATAACAGTATTTTTGTCTTTTTGTAATACATTTAAACTAACCAGTGAAAAGTAATACCATTTTTTTGAAGACTGGAAGTTGTACTCGACTTTCCACACTATTTAATTGCACAGTACCGCATTTTTTACAGTTTTTTAACACGAAAACGAGAGAAGCAGTTCGACCAACGCTCGGTTACCGAATGAAACGATGTATCGCGACGTCTGTAGGCGTGCCTCACGCATAGGTAATATACTACTTAAGCTTGGCGTAAGCGCTTGCCCTTGTATGCGGACTCTAGTGGGGGTGCTCCGTGACATTAAATTAAAGGAATTACATTCACATTCTAATGAAAAAAAAACAAAGTGAGAAATGTTGATGACATAGGCTCTATAAAGAATATTAATCCTTTGCCTTGCAAAACACTCAAAAGAAAAAAAAACGTCACAAACATAGTTTTAAATGTAATCTTGTATGTAACAATATTTTAGGTACTATGATACCTATTTAATGAAGACTTATTAAATCTATTTAATTTATCAATATCTTTTAAAGCGAAACTATTAAATATATAAAAAATTAGACCTTAACAACACACTTCGGTGGTTGAGTGGTAGAAAATTCGCCTGCCACGCGCGCGGCCCGGGTTCGAATCACAGCCGAGTAAGGACTTTTTTATTAATGTTTTTAAAAGTTTCTCTTGTATCGTGTTTTTTTTTAATTCTATTCTCCCTATCAACTTCATATTAAACTATTTTACCTCAGGAAATGGAAAAATAGACAAAAGAACAAGACATTGTGATTCCTTGCCACAGTTATATTAAAAAATATTGAATTTCTGCTCAATTTTATGACCGATTTTGTTTATAATCTCACATTTTAATTACACATTTAGATAAATGTATAAATTAATTTCATATTGGTGAAGTACTACTAGGCTCACTGCTGAGGCGACAAAATGTATATAGATTTTTACTTTAAACATTTGTTACCGTTTATACCTGTATGTAAAGAATGTACAAAGAACATGTATATAATATTAACGAATGTATGGGGTGCTTTCTTAAATTGAAAATAAAAATGTAATTTTTATACTTAATAAAGAAGATACTTGAAGTATAGTGACTGCAATTTTACACCTCTGAAGTTAGCTGCGAAACTTCGTAATTTGTAGATAACTTCAGAGCAGTAAAATGTAACGGTCAGTTTTGTACGATATATGATATGTATGTGGTGTCTATTATGTATAACGATGTTTATATTTTTGTTTAAAAATACGAATAATTATAATAAAAAAAGATGGAAAAATGTGCTTGTTTTTATTCACTCGTCAAGAGCTTTCCTATATATAGATGCACTGACCCTGACCGCGGCCCTGATGGCCGTGTCGAATTCTTCCTAGCATTTCTAAGCCTGTAAGGCAGCGCCATCTCTTCTCATTGTAGGTAACCCACAAATATTAATATTTATTTATTAATTTTATTAATGTTGGCACGTTGCCTACTAGATGATATTTACGTCAAAAGATATTACAAATTGTAACTACCAAAATTTAAACGAAATCTTTTACCATAACAGCTCAGTTTAAGCTTTAATATTGTTCTATTATAGCTTTAATTAAAAAACAACTCATGAAAGTCGATAAGTAAATAAGTATTTGTGCTACCTCACAGTGAAAGTTGTATTAAAATATGAATTTAGAAGACATGTATACAGTGTTAAGAAGTGCAAGTCTCAACAATATAGGAGCCACCTATGAGGTCATAGAAATATGGTTTAAAAGGTGCGGTATTATTGGTAGGTACTCAGTGTAGTAATCACAAATTTAATGTTATAAACAGCAATATGAATACTCTCAAGTTACACACCATCGCAAAGTATAAACTCAAAGTCATTTATTCAGTCTAGCCTGTTACAAACTCTTGTGAAAGTCAAACGCTACGCCATCGGTTCGTAAATCTACGGCGGGTGACCTTGTACTGAGAAGAACCGGCAAGAAACTTAGCAAGGGCTATATTTTTCTCCCTGTTTTGTTTCATACAGAGTCGTCAGGGGTGATGACGGGTTACAGTAAACGAAATTCTATTTAGTCCGTCAGTTAGATGATCTAAAAATAATGGACACGTATTTTTTCTTTGGGCAATCAACCAAAAAATGACAAAGTTAAAGCGCGTCAAAGTTTGGGAGTAGGGGCTCGTGACGTCACTTTTGAGTGAATTTTCACTTATAAGTGTACTCAAACGTGACGTCACGCGACTTTTCAAATCAATATATCTCTGCAATGTTTATATTATGTGAAAAAAGAAAAAATACGTGTCAAATACTTTTTGATAATCTACCTGATAAACGAAGAAAGCAAAAATAGTCATCATCCCTATCAAAAATTGAAAACATGTTTTGATGTCAACTTTCATCACATTAATATTATTAATTAATAAAAGTTAAGCATAGCTAGGTACTATTTTTAAATTAAGAAGTGGCGATTAAACAATTTTCAACCAAATTAGCAAAGTAAAACAACTTAGTCTATTATTTTAAGCCCAAATTGCCTTATCATTCATGAAATCTTTAACAGCATAGTAACCTTTTTTTTAAGGAGACGTGTTTTTATACACACTTTAAACTTATTAAAAGGTAAATCAATTATTTGTTTTGGTATTTTATTATAGTAACATATACCTTGACCCACAAATGAACCAAGAACCTTTTGGAGTCTCAACGGTGACAATTTGAGTTTATCTTTATTTCTGTTATTGAAAATAAGTACATGATCGCGCCTCGTATATAAATTTATGTTTTGACGCTGAATATGCTATATGAAGGACGCCTCGAGACAGTACTTCGATAAAGCCGCGCATCTTCCGAACCCCTTAGTAGTTAAAGCCATTAGTAATCATACGTCCGCCCTCCCGTCCTCCAATCGTAAGTCCCTCCGATTCCGTCGGCCTAGTCTTAAGAGTACCCCTCTTAGATTAAAACAAAAAGGGTAGATACGGCACTAGCCTCACAAAAGTGATCCGCATGAATTGTGGTCCACGACCCTAATCGCTTTAGTCACAACTTGACATGCAAACGACGTACATGTGAACGCCAAAAAGAAATATTGCTAATATTTTGTGTTTATATGATAAAACAATGCCTAAGTGTGTTTTTAAAATAAAATAAGTGCTCAAATTGCTCAAGAACTAAAAATAAAACCCACGGCATCACTTTTCATTCGTAAGTACTATAAAATATATTTTTTCATAAAAATTGCTGTTTCTTTTGAATCTTATTCGGTAGTGACGTCGAGTACTGGTCGCGTGATTGTTCGGTAGTGCAGTGACGCGGATCTCGCCGTCTCGTTCGCGCTGCCGTTGAAACTTAACGTGCTGTTTCGTTCGGGTCGGTAATGCAGTGACGCGGATCTCGCCGTCCCGTTCGCGCTGCCGTGGGATCAGTTTTTGTTTGATGCGAGTATGAGCGTACCGTAGTTACCCTTTTTGTTTTAATCTAAGGTACCCCTACGACAAAATCACCCGCGCCAACGCGCCTCCGAATCCTCCCAGACAGGCCACAAACACCAACACTACACAACCAGCTAACTTGCACACTATCTTAGCATTAGGCAGACACCGCACCCGTAGGATAAGAGTGCAAAGACCCGGTCTACACACGACACGCTATACAAGGTACAGGTACCTGGGCGTTTTTCCCCGCCTCCCACGACGACGGCTAACTAGAGCCGAGGTCCGAGTCTCGGAGACGCCCTCTAGTTGAGCTGACCCCCTCAGGTTCGAGTTGTCTAGAGGCTCCAGACGGAGAGAGGAGACCCCCAGTGGGGAGATGCCATCCGCCTGGAATACCTCTAGAGGCACTCGCCAATTTTAGGCTTGAGATCCCCTTAGCCGTCCACATTACCCCCAAATTTATTTTTTGCCCCAAACCCAGAATCACATCTTCTATTCAGTTTCACGGACTTAATTGTAACTATAAAATAAATCATATATGTCACAGATAATAAGTTCCTAACAGAAGAACATTTCAAAACTTCGTACCTGAGGCTGGCATCGAATCTTGAACCACTGACGCTCGTCCAGTTTATTCAACTCATCGGTAAGTAGGTACTTACCTTGTAGATAATTCATCTGGTTTCTTTAGCACAGCCGACAAGTGCGAGTAATATTTCGTACCTCTTATTCTTTCTCCCGACAACAATATCAAAATTCCTACATTTTAATAATAGTTAGTATCCCGATATTTAGGCCCATATTATAGGAAGATTCTCAGTGATTGTGACATCCCTTTCTAACTGTACTCAAGTAAAGATCAACACTTGTTGATATTATGTAATCGGGCCTTAGACTTCTCGATCTGGCAACTTGCGTAATTTTTTTTTACGCAGGCTAAACTATTATTTACAGACGTTGGCGCCCTTAAGGCGCTTTGCAGACGACGGGGCGGGGCGGGCTTTTTGTCCGCGAAGCAATAAAAACCGCGTCTGCCCGTCGATGTCTGCCTGCCGGGCACCCAAGGCGCGGTGTT